AGGGTATCTTAACTATAGTTGGAAAATAAAGTCTAATTATTTAACCATATATCTAAGTTTTAATAAATATTTTAATACTTTTCAAAAGTTTTTGTTAATACAGACTAATTTTTACCAGAGATAAAGCATTTCATAATGATAAAGGAGTCAGTTCATCAAAAGGACATAGTAATTCTAGATAGTTATGTCTGCAGAGCTTTAAATTACATGAAGCAAAAACTGATAGAACTAAAAGGAGAGATTTCAACAGATGTATAATTACAGTCAGATTTCAATAGCACTCTGTTAATAATTAAACAAGTGGGCAGAAAATTATCAAGGATATATAGATTTGAATAATACTAATAACCTCCTTGGCCTCTCTCCAGCAAAAATAGAACATACATTCCACTAAAATGTACATTGTATTTATCAGAGACTATATTCTTAGCTGTAAAACTAATCTCAATAAAGATAAAAGACTATAAGTCATATGTAGTATATCCTCCAAGCATAGCATATTTAAGTTAGAAATCAGTAACCGAAAGATTCTTGGAAAATTTCCAGGTACAAAATTTGGAAACTGAAGAACGTACTGTATGTAGCCCATTGGTTAAAGAAAATACTTTAAGAAAGAGAAATTTTAAAATATGTTGAACTGAGTAAGAAGAAGACATAACTGAGTTCATGAGATGCCACAAAGACGATAGTGGAGAGGAACATTTTAGCTCTGAATTCATACATTAGAAAAGAAAGATCTCGGTGACCTCAGCTCTGATCTTAAGAAACTAGAAATAGAGCAAATTAAATTCTACATAAACAGAGGAAAGAAAGTTATAAAGTTCAAAATAGAAGTCAGTGAAATAGACAAGCAAGAAAGAGAAAAACCAGTGAAACTGAAAGCTGGTTCTTAGAGAAGATCAATAAGATTGACAGTTTTCTAGCCAGACTGATCAGGATAAAAAGAAGGCACAGACTTGATTGATATCATAAATGAGAAATGTGACATCACTACATATTCTACAGATACTAAAAGAATAAGGGGATATTATGAAAAACTTTATACAAGTAAATTACACAACTTAGATGAAATGGACAAATTCCTGGCCATATGCCCTCTCCCACTTCTTCATTTATTCATTTATTTATTTTAATTTTTGGCTGCTTTGGGTCTTGCTTGGGGCCTGATGCTCCGCTGTCCTGCGGCTTGTGGGATCTTAGTTCCTGGACCAGGAATTGAACCTGCATCCCTTGCATTGGAAGGCAAATTCTTAACCACTGGACCACTGGGAAGTCCCCCCAATTCTTACGTTAAAATGTAACCTCCAGTGTGATGGTATATGGAAGTAGGGCTTTGGGAGGTGTTTTGGTCTTGTGGATGCACCCTCATCAGTGGTTTTAGTGTCTTTCTCAAAGAGACTCCAGGAAGACCCTTTGCTCCTTTCCACCCTGAGAAGTTACAGTGAAAAGACAGCCTTCTGTGACCTAGGAAGCCAGCCATTACTAGACACTGAATCTGCCAGTGCCTTGATCTTGAATTTCCCAGCTTCAAGAAATAAATTTTTTGTTGTTTGTAAGTCACCCAACCTATGATATTCTGGTATAGCAACCTGAATGGACTAAGACTGATACAAACTCTGAAACTACAGAATATGAAAGTTTACTCAAGAAGAAAACCTGAATTGCCCTACATGTTAAAAAAAAAATGGATTTATAGTTTGATATACTCTCAAAGTAAACACTAGATCTGGAAGATGGAAAAAATTAACAACAATTCTATAAAAATTCTTGAAAACTGAAGGAGAAAGTTTCCCCAAGTCATTTTGTGAGACTGTCACGTTCAGTTCAGTTCAGTCGCTCAGTCGTGTCCAACTCTTTTCGACCCCATGGACTTCAGCATGCCAGGCCTCCCTGTCTATCACCAACTCGGGAGTTTACCCAAACTCATGTCCATTGAATCAGTGATGCCATCCAACCATCTCATCCTCTGTTGTCCCCTTCTCCTCCTGCCCTCTGGAGAAGGCAATGGCAACCCACTCCAGTACTCTTGCCTGGGAAATTCCATGGATGGAGGAGCCTGGTAGGCTACAGTCCATGGGGTCGTGAAGAGTCAGACTTGACTGAGCGACTTCACTTTCACTTTTCACTTTCATGCACTGGAGAAGGAAATGACAAGCCACTCCAGTATTCTTGCCTGGAAAATCCCAGAGACGGGAGCCTGGTGGGCTGCCGTCTGTGGGGTCACACAGAGTCAGACACAACTGACGTGACTTAGCAGCAGCAGCCTCCTGCCCTCCATCTTTCCCAGCTTCAGAGTCTTTTGAAATGAGTCAGCTTTTCGCATCAGGTGGCCAAAATATTGGAGTTTCAGCTTCAACATCTGTACTATCACATTACCTTGATATCAAAATCAGTTAAAGACAGTATAAGGGGGGGGGGAGAACTATATCCCTCATTAACATATGTAAAATTTCAAACAAAATTTTAGCAAGTAGAATCCAATAATACATGAAAAGGATAATATATGGATGGAGAATAAGCACATGAAAAGGTTGTCAACATCTTCAATTCAGTCGCTCACTTGTGTCCGACTCTTTGCGACCCCATGAATCGCAGCACCCCAGGCCTCCCCGTCCATCACCAACTCCCGGAATTTACTCAACCTCATGTCCATCAAGTCTGTGATGCCATCCAGCCATCTCATCCTCTGTCATCCCCTTCTCCTCCTGCCCCCAATCCCTCCCAGCATCACGGTCTTTTCCAATGAGTCAACTCTTCACATCAGGTGGCCACAGTATTGGAGTTTCAGCTTCAGCATCAGTCCCTCCAATGATCAGTCCCTCCCAGGACTGATCTCCTTTAGGGTGGACTGGTTGGATCGCCTTGCAGTCCAAGGGACTCTCAAGAGTCTTCTCCAACACCACAGTTCAAAAGCATCAATTCTTCAGCACTCATCTTTCTTCACAGTCCAATTCTCACATCTATACATGACCACTGGAAAAACCATAGCCTTGACTAGACAGACCTTTGTTGGCAAAGTAGTGTCTCTGCTTTTTAATATGCTGTCTAGGTTGGTCATAACTTTCCTTCCAAGGAGTAAGCGTCTTTTAATGTCATGGCTGCAGTCACTGTCTGCAGTGATTTTGGAGCCCCCAAAAATAAAGTCTGACACTGTTTCCACTGTGCAAATTATATCTATAGCTAAGTATCACTATAGGCATAATAGAATGTAATCTAAATTAAAAAGACTGACCTTCTAAAGTGTTGGAAAGGATGTGGAACGACTGGAACTCTCAAATACAGATGATCGGAATGTAAAATGATATAATCATTCTAGAAAACATTTTGGCACTTCTTTAGAATTGCATATACCTACCAGGTGATCCATTCATTCCATCTTAGAATTTGACTAAGATAAATGAAAGTGTATGTCTGTTAGGCTTGTACATGAATATTCATGTAAGCTTTCTTTATATAAATAATAGCTCCAAGCTGAAAATAGCCCATATGTTTATTAATATAGGTGAATGGATAAACATCTTGTGGTATATTCAGACATGGAATTGTTGTTAATTGTTTAGTCGGTAAGCCGTATCTGACACTTTTCGACCCCACAGACTATAGCCTGCCAGGGGAATACTGCTCAGCAATAAAAAGGAATGAACTGTTTATAAATAGTAACATGGATGAATCTCACAATAATTACATAAATGAGTGAAAGAATCCAGACCAAAAAAGAATACACTGTGTGGTTTGATGTATATCAATTCTAGAAAGTAATCTATAATGACACAAAGCAGGTCACTCATTGTCTGGGGAGGGAGGGATGATGAAGGGGTACAAGAGCATTTTGGATGTCAATGAATATATTCTTTGTATTGATTTGTGATATGGTTTCATGGGTGTATACATTTGTGAAAACTTACCAAATTGTACACTTTAAATGTGTACATTTTATTGTATGTAAATTATACCTTAATAAAGTTTTTTTAAGAAAACATAAAATCCATAGAAATATTTAAGATCTCAGAAGCTTAACTTTATTTTTAGTGTTGCTGAGTTTAAAGATAATAGAAATCTTGACTCAGCATTTATGTTCTTTAGATTTCTACCATATATTACCTGTCTTAATATGTGTTTTATATAATTTTGTCTTCTTTGGTTATTTTTTTAATGCTGTATCTGGTATTTATATCTGAAATAGTTAATGACCCCTAAACACACTTAGTTTTGACCCTTAAACACTCTTAGTTTACCCAATGTTTACTCAGAGTTTTTTAACTGTACGGCATATTCCTGATGAATTAAGAGACTGGTTTAATTATTTTTATTGCCTTTTGTTGTTGTTTAGTTGCTACGTCCTGTCCAGCTCTTTGTGACTCTCATGGCTCTGTCCATGAGATTTCCCAGGCAAAAACACTGGAGTGGGTTGCCATTTCCTTTTCCATGGAATCTTCCCCACGCAGGGATTGAACCTGTGTCTCTTGCATTGCAGGAGGGTTCTTTACCACTGAGCCACCAGGGGCGCCCAATTATATTTATTACTAGTATCTTTATTTTTTTCCTGTTAGACCTTGAATAATTCATGATGAACTCAATTCATTTGTTTAAATGTAAAGTTTAGCTCTAAGAATTCTGTAACTTAGAATGATTTTTTAAAAATAGTATGTATTTTGTTCGTGTGTGTGGGTATGCATTTTGCTGAAAGGAAAGCACCATGGCCTACTTCCGATAGTTTGATTATCCTTAACAGGGCCTTAGGCATATGATAGAATCATAGTTGTCTTACAAATGAATTCATGCTGCAAATGTCTACTCTGTAGGAGGTAAAAATTGATTAAATGCTATCATAACAAGCTTCTTCTACAGAATGACAACAGTTTGTAAATCCAACTGGGAAGTATGCTGGTTAATTATTGTTAACCCAGGAATATTTTAATTTAGTGAATTAGGGTAAGGCATTTCATTTAATCGATGTATTTTCTCTCTCTCTCTCTCTCCCAGGAAATCTAGTAGCAGCCATGATAGAAAACAAAGGGCCCAGAGTGGTGGACTACTTTGTTGTGGCAGGTCTCACTGATACATCTACTCTTCTGGATCAAGAAATAAATCGTTTAGATACTAAGTCAACTGGACCTAAAGCTCCAATTACAGACATTGCAGTTATTAACAAATCATCTGGGGAAACAGTACCTGAAGGTTACACCTGTGTTGAAGTCACTCCATCCGGTCTCCAGGCAAACTTGAACTATGGAAGTCTGAAAAGCCCAGAACTGTTTCTCTGTTACAAGAGAGGAAGAGAGAAGCCACCTCTTACTGACATTGGGTATGGTGACTTTCTTTTGCTGTAGTGAAGGGAATAAAATTTATTTAAGGTGCACAGGAATAGAAATTTTAAAATCCCTGATGGTTCTATTATTTGTTACTTCAAGATCAAGTGTACTAAGATAGTACATACTTCTGTCCATCCTTACTGAATTTCTCTGCATTGTACTGAGTCATTAGATTATTTCCTTTCAAAAGAATATTGAAATGAAGTCATTAGAGCCTGAAATGTGATTTCATTTCTGTTTGTACCTGATAGGTAAGTTTAATAAACATGAAAGAACAAAAAGCTATAGTGAAAGTATATTTTTAAGGAGCTAGTTAGGTTATGTGATGAGGGTTTGTGAAGCCCTGAACTCATTTAAGAAAAGCAGGCAGCAGCAGCTAGGATTTAGATCATAATTGTGTTGACCCTGTAGATCTGTTTGCAGAAAGTTGATATCTAACCAGTACTAAGTCATCTTTTCCATGACCATGAGATGACGTTTTATTTATTGTTGAGTCATGTCCAATTCTTTGTGAACCCACGAACTGTAGCCTGCTAGGCTTCTCTGTCCCTGGTATTTCCCAGGTATACTAGAGTGGGTTGCCATTTCCTACTCCAGGGGATCATTGCAACCCAGGGATTGAACCTGCGTTTCCTGCATTGCAGGCTCTGTACTGCTGAGCCATCAGGGAAAGCCCTTTTTATTTATTAGCTCATGTGTAATTTCTTTAAACAGTGTTTTATAGTTTCAGTCGAGGAATTTTTAAAGGGAAAATTTTGAGGAGAATTTTGAAAGTAAGTTTTGTGAAAACATCTGAATATTAGATAAAACTTCTAAGAATTGACCTGAGGATGGTTGGCGTAGTGCCTGTCTTTTGTTTCATGTTTCTTATAATAAGCAATTAAAAAAAATTGATCATATACACTTCTGAAATTGTGTTCTAAATATTAAAAAATAGTAGTTAAGAGATTTATAATTCCCAAAGTAATAATTTTAGTTTTGGTTAGTGATTAAGTTTTGGGAAACAACAGGGGAGACCAAAAAAAAAAATGTATTTTGTTATCAAGGAGAAAAAACTAGTGTTAACCTGACATAAGTTTACTTGTCAATTTTTTTTCTTCCCTCCCATACAGAGTTTTATATGATGGGAAAGAAAGGCTTATTCCAGGATGTGAAGTGATCCAAGCCACACCCTATGGTCGCTGTGCCAATGTCAACAATAGTTCCACTACTTCACAAAGAATCTTTATCACTTATCGAAGGGCTCCTTTAATTCGGCCCCAGAATTCTTTGGCTGTAACTGACATCTGTGTTATTGTAACCAGTAAGGGAGAAACCCCTCCCCATACTTTCTGCAAAGTTGATAAAAACTTAAATTGTGGAATGGTAAGAATAAAGTTTCATTTCTGAAATTTCATATGAAAATTAAGAAAAATTTTTTGGATTCCTCTTTATCATTTGGCTGATTATTTACTCAGTTTATATTGTCATGATTTAAAAAAAAAATTTAGCCTTCTAATTTTCATGGTTCATTGTAACTTAAAAAATCCTTAGCTATCTGATGTTTTAGAATAATTTCATCCAGAAAATAGATACCTAAAGTAAGGGACTTTTTTTTCCCTTGGTATGTGCTAATACATCACACTCATGTACAGATTTTACTAGCTTTTGGGTTTCAGTGTTGTCTTCAAGGACAACTTCAGGGAGACTGGGTTGAGATACTGCTTATATTTATTCAATTGTCTTAGATATTGTAGTTTTCATCCTTATTTTAAAAGGGTTGTAGTGAAAAAGAAAAATACAACATAGGCATTGGATTTATAGTTTTTTATGACCCTAAAGTTATGTTTCTTTTGAGTTGTGTTTATGTTATGTTTATTTTGAAAAATATTTTAAATCAGACTGAAAGCCTAAATGATACAGTCAGAGCTGACCGATGCACCCAAGGCTGGTTGTCGAGACCAGTTTGACTCTGGAGATAATGACTTCATAGCCTCTAGTGGCCCCAGTCTTCCCTAGTTTGGGCTCAGCATCCCCTCCATTTTGTGCTGTTTCTTTCAAATAGAGGCAGCCTCTGCATGATTACAGAGTTCTGAACTTTTTGAAACAAACCTCACATCAGTTTAATTTTTGTGGCAATGTTTTTTTATTACGCCTTTTCTTTTAGTGTTTTCCATCTCATGCTTTGTTATATTGTATACTATATAGTCTGTTTGATAAACATGTTTTAAATAGACTTCCCTGAAGAAATAATCAAAATCTTTAGAAGACATTCGACAAAATCAATTGATTTTCACTCTTTTGTCTTTTTAAAACCTAATTTATATTTTACAGTGGGGTTCCAGTGTGTTTCTGTGTTATAAGAAGTCTGTGCCTGCTTCTAATGCTATAGCATATAAAGCTGGTAAGTAAATTTGGAAAAAAAAAATGTTTCTATTACTATAGGAATTGTTACACACTAACATTTGGTTAGAAGAGACAGTGTTTGCTCCCTTATACAGTTTGTGGAACTGATCTATTCATAAATTGAGTTAATTATAACTTTAGCATATAAAGACATTACATTTTCTTAAGTTCATACTACAGGATATATTAATATTACCCCTTACCAACAAAAATACACTGTTAATCGAACAGAAAATTTTATTCCGAACAAGCATTTGTGGAATAAACATTCAAGCTGTTAGTCTACTCTAATAGATTTAATAGTTGCGTGGAAAATGCATACTCTCTGACCTTTTTATATTTTGACAATCAGAAAGGTATCAAACTGCATCTTTGCTTCTTATATATCTCCTTCTCTTATCTCTGTGTGTCTGATTTGAAACCACATGTTACTTGCCATGAGAGGTGGACTTGCTTCCTTTTTCCCTTGTTGCAAAGAATCAGCTATATGGAAGAGAGGAGGGCCTGAGAACCTTTTCTGCCATGAAGTGTTTGAGAAATCTATCGTCACATTCTTACTGCACAGTAAAGTGTCAAGGGCTGTAAAGATTTAAGTGTGACCTCTTCATCCCACCGGTATGGTGGGATAAAAACTGAAAATACAGGTATGCTCCAGCTATAAATAGAAGAGATAACTGGAATACTTCTTGGTGAAAAGAAGCAGTGTCATTACTTTTTGTCATGCACAATTTTTGGAATAAGGTTTTACTTCAGGGAAGTCAGGCAGATCCATATATGAGAAATCTTAATTGTCCTCATAAAGACATCCATATTAATGAATCAAACCATTAAATTTATAATATGAAAATAAAGGCAGCAACTGACAGTTATAAATTTCAGTATCACTTTAAAATGTAATACTGTTCTATTGCTGCAGTGTGTGGATTATATGTGGTTTCCTTAAAAAAAAATTTTTTTGAGGTGTTAAGTGTCACTTAAACTTACAGAATTAACTTATAGAAACAAAGTTTGTGAAACTCTTCAGGCATTTGATATAAGACATACATATTAGAATAAAGAGTTTTGGAGACTGACTTTGGACCTAAAATTCGGCTACTGACTTTCAGATGTCTAGCCTAGAAGTGTCTGCGTACTGGAGATAGCAGGGGCGCCATGGAGCTGCTCGCTCTGAGGAGGCTTTGTTAGGCTTCTGGGAGTGCCCTCCTCCTCCCGCCGCCTCGACCGCTCAGACTTTGTGGTAGTCACAAGAGCTTCTGTCTCATTTACTGTTCATCCTGCATTCATTTTACACTGCTGCTCATTCAAAGTAAGTTTAGGGGCTAAGATAATTTCTGCTGCCTTAGCAATACTGTCCCTTCCCTGAGTTTATTATTTTTTGTTTTATAGGAGGCTAACTGAAATAGTTGGTAAATTTCCCTGAATGTTTCTTGCATTCTCTAAGATGTTGGCAGTATGCAGGAAAAACAAATTAATGGTTCTGTTAAATAGAATTTTAACTAGTATATTTAATACATTTTAGTGTTATAGTGAACTCTAAATCCATGAGTAAAAATAGATGTTAAATTTGTTATTCTCATTTCTGATATGGCAAGAGAAAAATTGATCTTGAAATTTTACACATAAATATTTCACATATAAAATTTGCTATTAAAATGTCCTGTTAATATATTTTACATATTAATAACTATTTAAAAGTAACAGTTTAAAAAAATTGTCGCGTTGCCTGGTAGTGCAGTGGTTAGGACTCTGCACTTGCACTGCTGTGGGCCTGGGTTGACTCCCTGACCCGGGAACTGAGATCCCACAAGTTGTGCAGTGCAGCCGAAGAATGAAAAGTAAAAAGAATAAATAAAATAAGGAATCAGTGGATAAATAAATTATCATTATCTTCTTTCTCCAAAAGGGTTAATTTTTAGATATCCAGAAGAGGACTATGAGTCATTTCCACTCTCAGAATGTGTCCCTCTCTTCTGCCTTCCGATGGGAGCTACTATTGAGTGTTGGGATCCACAAAGCAAATACCCATTACCAGTTTTCTCAACTTTTGTTCTCACAGCTTCTTCTGCTGAAAAGGTATATGTTTTCCTTTCATTAAACTAGTTTTGCTCATGTTCTTAATCCACAGACTGTTTAATATGAGATGTCTTATTGAATGTTAGGATCCTATTCAGACACAATACATTTTTTATTTAAATTTTGTACTATAATGCCCAAAGTGAGAAGTCAACATGAAAATTGGAATCAGGATACTGATACCACTCGAGTGTTCTTAGGAGCAAATATAAAGTCTCTGGAGAGATAACAGCCAACACCCAGGACTCAAGATTCTAGTAAAAGATAGAAGACATAGGTACCATAGGAAGAATCAATAAGACTCAGACCTGGATTATACCTTTAAGATATTGAAATGATAGAATGATAATATCAAAGATATTATAAATTGAATATATAGTTGAAATATTCAAGACCTAAGAGAGAAGCTCAACACATCAAAGAAAGAACATGATATTTTGAAAACTGAATAGACAGGTTGGAGAAAGAAGTGTCTAGAAATGAAAAATATGATCCTTAAAACTAAAAATTTAATCAGTGGCTTAAACAGCAGGTAAGTCATGCATGAAGGAAGAATTAATGAAGTGGAAAGTAAGTTACCTCGAATGTGGCACAGGAAAACATAGAAGGAATTTAAAAATGTAGAGAATAGAATCAAAAAGACCAATAGATACTTAATAGTCCAGAAGGAGAGATTAGAAAGAGTACAGGCAGCATTTTAAGAGCTAATGGTTGATTGAGAGTTTTCCAGGGTTGAAGAAAAATTGAGTTTTCAGGTTAAAGATGTACTCTGAATCTTAAGTAGAAAAAAAAATATACATATATATATATATATATATATATATATATATATATATATATATAAAACCACTTATTTCATGTTATAATAAAACCATCAAATACCAAAGACAAAAAGCATCCAGAAAGGAAAGACATAGCAGTAGCCATGAAAGAAAAGGTGAATAATAGGACTTTATTGAAGTTAAGGACACCTGTTCATTCAAAGGTACCATTAAGAAGGTGGAAAAGGAGAAAGTAATGTGATACAGTATGTGTTCCACAAGGGTCTTGTATTCAGAATATTTAAGCAACCTCTACGTTGTCAACAGGATAAGAGATAACTCTGTGGCCCAACAGTTATACACCTGAGCGTATCCCAGGAGAAATGAATGTATATATCCTCCAAAGCACATGTGCATTTGTAGGTTCCAAAAACTCAAAACATGTATAAACAGTAATAATGATAAAGAATAATTATTTAAAATAAAAAAGAAATGGCAAAAACATTAGGAAATAAAAAGTAAATAATGCTACAGATCTAGTGGAAATTTAAAAATTGAAAGCTTTCATAGGATATATTTGATAGAATACTCAGTTTTATTGAAAAGTGTAACTGACAGAGGCTGACTTTTGTGAAGCAAACAAAAATGCATCTGTGTCTGTGAGCAGCCTTCATGTTTTCAACCACTGTAAGATGATTAACTGAGGTTAAGTGTCCAGCACAGTGTCTGGAACATAGTAAAATTCTCAGTGAATGAAGGCCAATACTATATTGACTGGATTGCTTACAAGTAAGCTAAATCTCTAGCTTAATAATCATTTATAGTTTCTCACTTTGGAAGCAGTAAATATAAATGAATTTTTAAAGATCTTCAAACACTTGAGTTACTGAATATACCTTGACTAGTAGAGAACAACAGAGCCTCTGAGATACTTTTGTCATATTGCTTGTTAAAAACCCTTGAGATGACTTTGAAATAATTGTATCCGAGAGTTGTTTGTATTTGTAAATTCAAGGGTAAATATAATTCACACAGACATATATATGACATATACACACATGTATATACATACACACACATATATATAGTGTTAGAAGATTTATAAAAGTGTCACTTACCTGTTTTCAGTTATAAGACTTATAAAAGTATCACTTGTCCGTTTTCAGAACTTTCTCATCACTTGAAACAGAAGCTGCTTCTAATCCTACCGTATGTCCCTCTTTTCTACTATCTGTCTCTACCAGTTTGTCTATTCTAGGTAGCGTATATAAACGGAATCATATAATATTTGTTTTCCTGTGTCTGGCTTGTTTCACTTAGCATAATGTTGTCAAGGTTTGTCTATGTTGCAGTATTTTTCAGAATTTGATTCCTTGTTAGGGGTGAATAATAAATGAGTATATGACTGTATGTGAGTGTAGATGCAGTCAGCCCACTGTGTCTGTGGATGCCAAACCTGTGGATATGCAGGGCTGATTGTACTACTTGTACATTTTGTATAAGGAACTTGAGCATTCATGGATCTTGGTATCTGCGGGGGGTTCTGGAATCGACCACCCTTGAATACTGAAGGACGACTGTACCACATTTTGTGTATCTGTTCATTTGTTGGTGGACGTTTGGGTGGTTTCCATTTTTTTGGTTATTGTGAATAATGCCGCTATGAACATTGGTGTACAAATATTTGTTTCAGTCCCTGCTTTTGATTGTTTTGGGTATATACGTAGGTGAATCATATGGTAATTGTTTAACTTTTGGAGGAGCTGCCAACTGTTTTCCACCATAGCTGCAACCATTTTATATTCCCATCAGCAATGCTTGAGATTTTTTTTTTCTTTTCCATTTTATCTGTCATATGTACTCTAAGAAAACAGTTCTTTTGGAATAGAGAAAGAGAGAAATTAAGTTTTAAAAAACACTCAAATTTTATCATGAAATTCTTTTACTCTGTAGGTATATGGAGCTGCAATCCAGTTTTATGAGCCTTATTCTCGAGAACTTCTAACAGAAAAACAGCTTATGCAGCTGGGCCTGTTGACACCTGTGGAGAGGAAAATGGTCTCTAAATCCATCAATTCGAACAAATGCATTTGTTTACTCTCGCACTGGCCTTTTTTTGAAGCTTTTAGAAAATTTCTTATGTTTATCTACAAACTTTCTGTGTCTGGACCACATCCTCTTCCCATTGAGAAGTATGTATAATGATTTGAAGGGTGTCTGATGGAAAAATTGGATGTATATATGTACATTTCATTGTTTACTTAACTTTAAGCGTAAAGAGTTGAAAGGGAAGGAGAATCACAGTCATCCTACTTTTTACTTGCTCGCTTCTTCACAGAATCCATGACTTCAAATTTAGAACTGAGGAGTGGTGGTGAGAATGATCACATAAAAATGTGAGAATTCAGCTAAGGAAGAAACATACACATTGCATTGTGTGTGTTCTTCATGCTCATTCTCAAATAACCAAGAGAAAAATAGCTGTTGATGCACACATACCCCAGCCAATCCAAATGACCATTTCAAGTTAAAACATCTCTAAACTGATGTAGAAATTAAGGATGAGGTAATTGAGACTTCCCTGGTGGCTTAGATGGTAAAAGTGTCTGACTACAATGTGGGAGACCCAGGTTTGATCCCTGGGTTGGGCAGATCCCCTGGAGAAGGAAATGGTAACCCACTCCAGTATTCTTACTGGGAAAATCCCATGGACAGAGAAGCCTGGTAGGCTACCGTCCGTGGGGTCGAAAAGAGTTGGACAGGACGAGGGACTTCACTTTCACTTTCTTTGATTGATACGAAAGTAAGGTTTTGATTTTAGTGTTGACTGACCGCTACATGTTTTCCCTTCAATTTGTAATTCTCTTTGTCATGGAAATGTTTTGAAACCAGAAAAATAGATGTGGAGTCACTGTCTTTTAAAAATCACATCTTTCCTGACTTCTAATGGCACATTGACTTTAGTTTATTAAGTTTTAGGTAAGTGGCTTTGTCAAATCAGGGATGATAAATTATATTTAAGATCTGTTAAAACCCATGAAGTATTTTAGAAAAGTAATTGTCTTTATTTCAAAATTTTTTTCTAGGCACATTTCACATTTTATGCAAAACATCCCTTTTCCTTCACCCCAGAGACCAAGAATCCTGGTACAGGTAATCAAAAAAGAGTATGTTTGAGGGGAGAGCAGCATATGTTCACTCCAGTCATTGCAGTGTGGACTCTATGGCCCTTTGGGTTTGAGGTGGAGCAAGATGCATCCATTAAGTCCTTGAATTCTTATATTTTGTATCTTTAGCGAATACTCTTTTGTACTATTTTTTTGAATTTAGGGTATACAGAATTTGAATAATTATAATACTTGTTCATGACATCATCATTGGTCCATTTGTGGCCTAAATTTATGTTGCTGATTTTAATAACATAAAACCCAGAATTATGTTGAGGGCAAGTTTTTAATATCAGAGTGACTTAATAAATATTAAATGTGAAATCAGTTATGGTTAGAGGGCATTAAGTACAGTTGTCTGTAATAGTGCTCTTCAAACTGTCTTTGTTAAAGGACCAGTTTTTTTTTTATTTCCAGTCAATGGCAGACCTATATAAGCATATAGCTTATGACATAAGCAGTCAGTATAGACATGAACAGGTCTGTACCCTGTCCAAAGACATGAGTTCACTGATAATGTAATTGGATATGAGAGCAATGTCAAATTGCCATAAAAGTTTCTAAATCGCTTTCTCTATATATACTATTTCTTTCTAGACCGATAACAGTGTGTAGACTGGCACTTTGAGTAGAGGCAAGCTATTTAAACATTTTTTCTAAGATAGTTACCAACCTTATATAGGATAGTCAGGTATTGTTAATCTTGAATGTGTTTTATTTTATTTATTTATTCTGTAGAATGTATTTTAGTTCAGCGAGTATTAATACATATTAAGTAGTTGCCAAATACAGAGTAAATATATGTAAGGCTTTTAAAAAGCAGTTACTTTTTTTAAACAGGTGTATTTTAATTGACTAACTGAATCAAAATTCATTTGATTTAATCATTTAATTATAAAGAACTATATGCTTCTAAGTAAATACAGCTGTTGTTTTATATTTTAGTACATGGTTCCAAAACTGTATCAGTCTGCATATTAGACAGTTTTCCATTTTACCCTTGATATAAATATTTAGGTTTCAAATTTGGCTTCGTTAATTTATCTTTTTTTTTCTTTTTTTAAGCTGTCAGTCCACGATGCATTAATATTATCACAACCAGTTTCTACACCTTTACCACTAAGGTAATTAATGGTATATAAAATAATACATTTATTCACTTGGATCAGAATGCTTTAATATATTTTAAGAGTTAGTATGATAGAGCTGTGCTGTTTTTACAAATGGAGAATAACCTTAATGTTTCAAAGTTTGATAGCTGGTTGGATGGTAGGGGTCATTCACCATTTTAAAAATGAAACATTTAAAGAGAGTTGCAAGATCAGATGGATGTAGGGAGTATCTCCCTCTTCCTCTCATCTCCCCTCCCCATATCCAGTTTATTACTGAATATTTCAGGTGAACTGCCTTTACCTCCTAAAATGCCTTGAATCTATTAGCTTCTCTTCATCTGCGTTGCTGGTCCAGGCTTTGCACGGCCTTTCACATGAACTGTTTCGTTATGAACCTCTTAACTGGCGCCCTTTTGCTCTTGTTTTCCAGTTTTTTATTCACACTGCAGTGTGCCTTTTTGAGAATGCTAATATAAAATTGTTGGAGAATGCAAATATTTTTATTTGGGGCATAGTCTCTTACTGTATTCACCTCTTCCTTTCCTATGCTTTAGTCACAATATGTTTATTTCAATTCCTTGAACATGGCAGATGGTTTTTCTTGCCTCAGGAACTTTGCAGATGTTGTCTCCCCACCAGCCTCTACCTTCTTTCTTTTGAGCTCAGCTCAAACGGCTGTTCTTTAGGGAGATCTTTCCTGATAAATGCCCCCTTTGTTTCCGAAGGATGAGTTTGAATCATTCTGTTACACCATCTCATTAACTTTGCTAGTTTGCAGTGATGACTAAATCAGGACTTGAGGTTAATATTATATTCTCAATTTATTAATATTCAGAAAATAATAAGCAAAGCTTAACACCTTTTGGTGAAATAGTTGATAATCTTATCTCTCCTTTTCTAGTGGAGCGAACTTCAGCACCTTGTTAATGAACCTGGGTCCTGAGAATTGTGCAACGCTGCTGCTCTTTGTTTTACTCGAGAGTAAGATCTTGCTGCATTCTCTGAGGCCAGCTGTGTTGACTGGGGTAGCTGAAGCTGTTGTTGCTGTAAGTATAGAATTTTCTTTTTAGTACAGAATTCTTGAGAGAATTTTTACTCTGAAGGGAGATTTCCTTCAGTGAAAGCAACTTTGAAATTACCACTAAATGTTTAACATAAATGTAATAGAGTGGCAAAGAGATAATATAAAGAAAAAAAATAATTTGTATTGAGAGAAAATTTCAGTTTCTAATTTTTCATATCTTGGAGTTCTTCAGAGAAGTTATATGATTACATAAAAATAGAACTTGTGAATGAAGTTCACTGTGTTAAATGAGAAGCTCTAGTCAATTTCAGGTGCCCTAAAATTGTGGGCATGACTTTCTCCCAGTTTGAACCTTTAATCATTGTGGGCCAGTAACATACAGGAAAATCTAGGTGATTGTAAAATTGAACAATGTACAAATGCTTTGCTATTGTGAAGAGCATAAATAAAAATTCAAGTCCCCTCCTGTTTTAAAACCTCTTGATGGCATCCCATTGCAATTAGAAAGAGATCTGATCATTAGGGCTTTATAGGTCCATAGTGTTGAATTTTGGATGTTCCATTTCTCTATCTTCCATTATTTGTTTAATTTAAAATAGTTGACTCTCTTCTCTTCCCTTCCCCATTTTACTGACATGGAGGTAAGGATCTAGGTCTCTTTTCCACTCCTGTGTCCTCAGCACTTATTACAGTTAAATAGCATGGAGTAAACACTCAGTAAATACTTGCTGAATGACAAATGGGGTATGTCTCCAAGATCTTAATCTGGTCAAAGAAATGCTGCTAGGACTGAAAACACTAATAGCTATTTGAGATGGTTCATGGGGGACAAAGATCCTAGTTATATACTAATTATTCCAAACCTCCCCAGTTGCATGTGAAAGCAAAAGTAGTTATAATGTGAAAATATTTGTTAATGAACTGACTAGTTTTAGAAAGTTCCCACTCAAATATTCCTTCCTATAAAACTTTAGGGATTATCTACTGCCCTCTGTCTGAATCTTTGTAGTTTAGTCTCTTGCAATGTGAACTTGGAAATCTTATTAAAATGCAAGATTGCTTGAAATTTATGTAACCGATGTTGCTTGCAAGGCTGTTGATAAATGAGGATTTGATAGTAAGGCAACTTAGCATTTAAAGAGAAGAAAACAGAAAAGAATGGTGACAGGATAAATTCTGCAAAAGGAGAATGATTTTGATATCAAAAAATATTGAAGAGTATGGAGCCTTGTAGCAAGAATTGGTGGAACCAGTGAATATTTTTGTGAAATTGACTGTATTTTTGATTGTGTTGTGAAAGTCAAAGATGAAAATAAGGATGTTGTATTTTGTTGTTCAGTAGTTTTATTCTGAAATTTCTTACATAGTTGGAGGTATAACATACCTTTTGTTGAATGGAAGATGGTCAGTTTTTACTGGAGGAAATCTGGAGTCCTTGCAAGGTCTTTTGCAAGCAGTTCTGTCCCTCTGCTCTCTGATCTCATTTTCGACTTCTCTGCCTTTTGCTCACTCTGCTCCACCTGTTGCTGCCCCTGGAGCATATTAGGCAGTCCTCACACCATACAGTCTTTGCCCTGGCTGTTCCTTTTCTTCAAAGTGCTGTTCTCCTAGATATCCCCTTGACTAAATCCCTTACCACCTTCAAGTTCAGCCCAGTGTCTCTTTCTTAATGAGGCCTACCTGCTTTGGCCTGTGTCTGTAGCCTACTTTCCCTCTTTCCTCTCTACTGTTCTAAACTCTAGTACCTTTTACTTGGCTTTACTGTTTTTTTTTTTTCTCATAGCACTCTCTCACATGGCATATAGTCTGTTTATTATGTCGTCTTTTTGTTTTCTCTCTTCCTGCTAGACCAGGTGTTTGAGTAAAATCCTGGCTGCCGCTTGTTTTTTGTAAATATGTTTTACTGGAACCTAGGCCGTTTATTTATATATTTCCTCTGCTTTCATCCATGAAGGCAGAGTTATTTGTGACAGATGCATTATGGTTTGCAAGCCATAAAATATTCTGTATATTTTACAGAAAAAGTTTGCTGACTCTTATGCTGTACTGTAAACTTCATGAGTACATGGATCTTTGTTTTATACACTGTTAGAGCCCCATCGTGTAGAACAGTCTTTGGTACATGTTAAGTGCTCAATTGCCAGAAAGCAAGTAAATGATTGAAGACAGAATTCCAATTCTATATAACCATCTGGAATAACTGGCAGAGGTAGTAAATGTTATAGGTAATTATTTGGGGTGAGTAATGATGGGTAAGGCGACAATTGAACTAGACCTTGAAAGATAGCAAAGATTTTTATAATAGAGGAAAGATTTTGTCATCAGTGATTAAAATTTTAATATTAGTTGAAGTGGAACATTTTATGTTTATTTGGGCAGTTAGGAAGATTTTTTTGTTGAAATTTTTAGTTGACTATTACTATTCCCAAGATAATCATTTAAATTTTTTGTTTTGTTTAGCTCTTGGTGTTCTTAGTTGAATTTTAATCAGAGGTTATCTTGAAATGTAATAGATGGATGAAATGCATCAGTTAAAAATCATGAATTAAAAAAAAAAATCATGAATTTGTTTTATAAAATTTCCATCAATTTTTTCCCTTCTCTCACTTTCTCCATAAAGTAGGAATGTGGATTTTCTATAGACATTAGAATTAACGTTCAAAGAGCTGTTAGCATTTTAATTGTGCTTATGATCATTGTCATGCCTAAAGGTTTTAATCACAGTGGTTCATAGGATTAACTTGTAATGTTTTATAGTCATTTATATTTTGGAATGAAGTTTAAAGTGAAAGAAACTAGACTTTAACTGCTTTTTAACGGTCCCTTTCAATAATATTAGTTAATTACATAATTCTTATTGCAAATTTAAAAGTTGGTTAATTTTTTAAAACTTTTTTCCCAGATGATCTTTCCATTTCAGTGGCAATGCCCATATATTCCCCTTTGTCCTCTGTCACTGGCGGCAGTGCTCAGTGCACCTTTACCGTTTATAGTTGGAGTTGACTCAAGGTACTTTGATCTTCATGACCCACCACAAGATGTTGTTTGCATTGACTTGGATACAAACATGTTATATCTGTAAGTTGATTCTTTTTGTATTATGTCCCTTTATATTTTTCTCCACATGTAATTATAGCTCATCAAAAGCATATACAAATTGCTACTTTTAAAAGTTGTTAATGAGTCTTCATCTTCAGTTCAGTGATTCTCAATCAGGACAGGTATCAGAATCCTGGAATGTTACATAGTTTGAAAAAGAATGTGTTCAGTATTATAGTAGTTTATATTGGATAATAATGTTAATGGTAGGCAGGAGATGTTTATGTTTATCAGAAGATAATATGGATTCTTAAAAAGAAAAAGGGTAAACCCTGCTTTCAGAGCTCAAGAAATACGATGTCTAGGTTTAATTCAGAATCCATGTGTAAGTCACAACATAGTGACCTTATCACAATATAGGGTAATATTATGCTGTTTCCTTAGTTCAAGATTTGAATTTTATGGGGATTGTAGAGAAATTGATACTAAAAATCAATCACAGTTTGTGTTTACAGAGGTGATAAATTTGTATGGCAGTGGTGTAACTGGGGGTTCAGAGAGAGTACCACACTGGTAAAAGCAGCTTCATCCATCCAGTTCTAGATGGATGTTTAGGCACTCCCTCCACACCCCATCCCCAATGACAAGAGCAGCAAAGTGGGAAAGAGTGGTAAATAATGAAAGTTCCCTAGGGTAAGTGTCAAATTCCAGATCCTGGGGTGTTTTTATTCTTTCCTGTTTGATATTGGTAGAAAATGAATAGAGAAAGAATTTGGGATGAGACTTCAGTGGTTACAACAGTCGAATTGGTTGGGGAAAATAGGCTTGCGTGAACCCAAAGAATAATTTAAGGAAGGAAGAAAACATTTGATGTACCTTAAAAAATAATTTTGAAATGAATCTACCATTGTATTTTGAAAACTGTAGTTGTGGTATTGTTGTAGCTCCATACTATGTTTGTTTGTTTATTTGAGCTTTCAATACTTTTTAAGAACTAAAGTATAGTTGATTTACAAAATTACACTATTTTCAGGTGTATAGCATAGTGATGTAGTCTTTTTATAGCTTATATTCCAGTAGAGGTTATAAAAGCTGATGGCTTTAATTCTTTGTGCTGTGCAGCAGTGGTCCCCAGCCTTGGTGGTACCAGGGACCAGTTTCTTGGAAGATAATTTTTCCATGGACTGGGGGTGGGTGGGATGGTTTGGGGATGGTTTGAGCAACATTACATTTATTGTAACTTTATTTCTAATCTAATACTGCCATTAAAGTACCTGCCTGTGGCCCAGAGGTTGAGGACCCCTGCTATACAGTATATGCTTGTTGCATATTTATTTTGTATATAGTAGTCTGTGTCTTTTAATCCTATACCCTTATCTTGCCCCTCTCCCCTTTCTTCTCTCTACTGGTAACCGTGTTTGTTTTCTGTAAATGTGAGTGTGTTTTGCTGTCCCTTTTTTTTTGTTTTGCATTTTAGATTCTACATGTAAATGATAGCACATAGTATTTATCTTTGTCTGACCCATTTTACTACGCATGATATTCTCTAGACCATCCATGATGCTGCAGATGTTAGTATTTCACTCTTTTTTTGTCAATCAGTTCAGTTCAGCCACTCAGTTGTGTCCAACTCTGTGACCCCATGAACTGCAGCACGCCAGGCTTTCCTGTCCATCACCAACTCCTGGAGCTTGCTTAAATTCATTGTCCATTGAGTCCATGATACTATCCAACTGTCTCATCTGCTGTCGTCCCCTTCTCCTCCTGCCTTCAATCTTTCCCAGCATCAGGATCTTTTCCAGTGAGTCAGTTCTTTGCATCAGGCAGCCAAACTATTGGAGCTTCAACTTCAGCATCAGTCTTTCCAATGAATATTCAGGACTGATTTCTGTTAGGATGGACTGGTTGGATCTCCTTGCAGTCCCAAGGGACTCTCAAGAGTCTTCTCCAATCCCACAGTTCAGAAGTAGCAATTCTTCTGCACTCAGCTTTCTTTACAGTCCAACTCTCAGATCCATACATGACCACTGGAAAAACCATAGCTTTGACTAGACAGACCTTTGTTGGTAAAGTAATGTCTCTGCTTTTTAATATGCTCTCTAGGCTGGTTATAACTTTTCTTCCAAGGAGCAAGCGTCTTTTAATTTCATGGCTGCAGTCACCATCTGCAGTGATTTTGGAGCCCCTCAAGATAAAGTCTGTCATTGTTTCCATTGTTTCCCCATCAATTTGCCATAAAGTGATGGGACCAGATGCCATGATCTTAGTTTTCTGAATGTTGAGTTTTAAGCCATTTTTGTCACTGTCCTCTTTCACTTTGATCAAGAAGCTCTTTAGTTCTTCTTTGCTTTCTGCCATAAGGGTGGTGTCATCTGTATATCTGAGGTTATTGCTGTTTCTCCCGGCAGTCTTGATTCCAGCTTGTGCTTCATCCAGCCCAGCATTTCTCATGATGTACTCTACATATAAGTTAAATAAGCAGGGTGACAATATACAGCCTTGACGTACTCCTTACCCTATTTGGAACCAGACTGTTAATAGTTTTTATTCATTTATCTGTTGATGAACACGGTTGCTTCCGTGTTTTGGCAATTGTAAATAGTGCTGCTATGAATAATGGGGTGCATATATCTTTTTAAATTAGTGTTTTCACTCTCTGACATAAATCACAGCAGGATCCTCTATGACCCACATCCCAGAATTTTAGAAACAAAAGCAAAAATAAACAAATGGGACCTAATGAAACTTAAAAGCTTTTGCACAACAAAGGAAACTATAAGCAAGGTGAAAAGACAGCCCTCAGATTGGGAGAAAATAATAGCAAACGAAACAACAGACAAAGGATTAATCTCAAAAATATACAAGCAACTCCTCCAGCTCAACTCCAGAAAAATAAATGACCCAATCAAAAAATGGGCCAAAGAACTCAACAGACATTTCTCCAAGGAAGACATACAGATGGCTAACAAACACATGAAAAGATGCTCAACATCATTCATTATCAGAGAAATGCAAATCAAAACCACAATGAGGTACCATTACACACCAGTCAGGATGGCTGCTATCCAAAAGTCTACAAGCAATAAATGCTGGAGAGGGTGTGGAGAAAAGGGAACCCTCTTACACTGTTGGTGGGAATGCAAATTAGTACAGCCGCTATGGAAAACAGTGTGGAGATTTCTTAAAAAGCTGGAAATAGAACTGCCATATGACCCAGCAATCCCACTTCTGGGCATACATACCGAGGAAACCAGATCTGAAAGAGACACGTGCACCCCAATGTTCATCACAGCACTGTTTATAATAGCCAGGACATGGAAGCAACCTAGATGCCCATCAGCAGACCAATGGATGAGGAAGCTGTGGTACATATACACCATGGAATATTACTCAGCCATTAAAAAGAATTCATTTGAATCAATTCTAATGAGATGGATGAAACTGGAGCCCATTATACAGAGCGAAGTAAGCCAGAAAGATAAAGACCATTACAGTATACTAACACATATATATGGAATTTAGAAAGATGGTAACGATAACCCTATATGCAAAACAGAAAAAGAGACTCCGATGTATAGAACAGACTTGTGGACTCTGGGAGAAGGCGAGGGTGGGATGTTTCAAGAGAACAGCATCGAAACACGTATATTATCTAGGGTGAAACAGATCACCAGCCCAGGTTGGGTGCATGAGACAAGTGCTCGGGCCTGGTGCACTGGGAAGACCCAGAGGGATTGGGTGGAGAGGAGGGTGGGAGGGGGGACCGGGATGGGGAATACATGTAAATCCATGGCTAATTCATTTCATGTATGACAAAAACCACTGCAATGATGTAAAGTAATTAGCCTCCAACTAATAAAAATAAATGAAAAAAAAAATAAAATAAATTAGTGTTTTCTTTTTTTCTGGACATATACCCAGGAGTGGAGTTGCTGGGTCTTATGGTAATTCTATTTTTAGCTTTTTGAGGAACCTCCATACATTTTTCCACAGTGCCACTACCAATTTACATTTCTACCAACAGTGTATGAGTGTGTTCTTTTCTCCACATCATTGCCAACATTTGTTATTTGTCTTCTTTTTGATGATAGCCATTCTGGCAGATGTGAGGTGACATCTCAAAATTGTTTTGACTTGCATTTCTGTAGTAATTGGTGATATTGAGCAGCTTTTCATGTGCCTGTTAGCCATCTGTATGTCTTTGGAAAAATGTCTCTTGAGTTCTTTCTGCCCATTTTTTTTTATTGCATTGTTTGCTTTTTTGATAATAAGTTGTATGAGCCGATAATGAGTTGTATTATTTGCTTTTTTGATACTGAGTTGTATGAGATGTTTTGGGTGTTAATTCCTTGTTGGTCATATCATTTGCAGGTATTTTCTTCTATTCCATAGGTTATCATTTTGATTTGTTGATGATTTCCTTTGCTGTTCAAAAGCTTTTAAGTTTAATTAATTCTCATCTGTTTATTTTTGCTTTTATTTATTTTGCCTTAGGGGAGTGATCCAAAAATTACTGCTATGACTTATATCAAAGGGTGTCCTGTCTGTTCTCTTTCTCTTAGAGTTTTATGGTTTCAGGTCATCTATTTAGGTCTTTAATCCATTTTGAATTTGTTTGGATATTTGGTGTGAGGGAATGTTCTAATCTCATTTGTTTTACCTGTAGCCCTCCAGTTTTCCCAGCACCAATTATTAAAAAAACTGTCTTTTCTTCATTGTAAATCTTGCCTCCTTTATCATAGATTAATATATTGTAGGTGCATGGGTTTATTTCTGGGCTTTCTGTGTAGTTCAGTTGACCTGTGTGTCTGGTGTTTTGCCAGACATAAAATATACTGTTGCTGTTTTGATCACTGTAACTTTGTAGTGCAGTAGAAATCGGGGATGTGATGCTTTCAGCTTTGTTCTTTCTCCTCAGGATTGCTTTGGTAATTTGAGGTCGTTTGTGGTTGTTCATGAATTTTAGGATTAGTTGTTCTATTTCTGTGAAAAATGTCATGAGTATTTTTATGGGGTTTGTATTAAATCTGTAGCTTTGAGTAACATGACCATTTTAGTGATATTAATTCTTTCAGTTCAAGACGAGCAAGGGATATCTTTCCATTTCTTTGTATCTTCTCCACTTTCCTTCTATGACTTTTTGGAGTGTAGGTCTCTCACATTCTTGGTTAAGTTTATTTCTGGATATTTTATTCTTTTTGATACAGCTTTAAATGGGGTTTATTAAAAAAACTTTCTGATAATTCATTATTGCCATAGAAAAGCAACAGATTTCTGTCTATTATTCCTGCAAACTTGCTGAATTCATTGATTAGTTCTAATAGTTTTTGTGTGGAGACTAGGGTTTTCTTCAGAATTTATTTTTAATTGAAGTGTAGTTGATTTACAATGTTGTGCCGGTTGCTGCTGTACGGTATAGTGGCTCAGTGATACACAAACATACATTCTTTTTTAATATTCTTTCCCACTGCGGTCTATCACAGGATACTGAATACAGTTCCCTGTGCTGCATATTAGGGTTTGTTTATCCAGTCTGAATGTAATAGTTTGTGTCTTCCAACCTCAAACTCCCAGTCCATCTGTCTCCCTCCCCTGTTCGCCTTTGTCAACCACCAGTCTGTTCTCTGTGTCTGTGAATCTCTTTCTGTTTTATAGGTAAGTTCATCTGTGTTGTACTTCTAGGGTTTTCTATATAAAGTATCATGTTATCTATAAAGAGTAACAGTTTGACATCTTCCCTTCCAATTTGGATGCTTAATTTAACGGGAAGGATGTCTGATTTTCACCATTGAATATGATGTTAGCTGTGAACTGTCATATGTGGCCTTTATTATGTTGAGATTTGTTCCCTCTGTAGCCATTTATTGAGAGTTTTTAGATGAGTGGTGGTTGAATTTTATAAAGTTGCTTTTACAGTGTCTGTTGAGATGATCACGTGGTTTTCCCCTTTCCGTTTGTTAATGTGGTGTGTCACGTTGATTGATTTTTTTATATTTAAGCATCCTTGTGTTGCTAGAGGAAGTCCAACTTGATTGTGGTGTATGATCCTTTTTATATATTGTTGGATTTGATTTGCTAATATTTTGATGAGAATTTTTGCATCTATATTCAAAGATATTGGCCTGTAATTGTCTTTTGTAGTGCCTTTGTCTGGTTTTGATAACAGGGTATTGGTGGCCTTGTGATGAATTTGGGAGTGTTTTATCCTCTTTAATAATTTGGAGTACTGTTAGAGAAGTTTGGTAGAATTTCCCCAAGGAACTGCCTGACCCTGGACTTTATTTTCTGGGAATTTTTTAAATTACAAATTCAATTTTAGTACCAGTGATTGGTCTGTTCAAAGTGTCTTGTTTTTCTTTTACTGCCTTTAGAATTTGCTGTTTACCTTTAACTTCTGCCATTTTACGTATGGTATCTCTTGGTGCGGGTCTGTTTGGGTTCATCTTGTTTGGGATCCTCTGTGCTTCCTTTACCTGAATCTCTGTTTCTTTTCTCAGGTTTGGGGAGTTTTTAGCTATAACCTCCTTAAATACATTTTTGATCCCCTTTTCTGTTTTCTGGTACCCCTCCCTATAAGGTGAATATTGGTACGTTTAATGTTATTCTTGAGAGCTCTTAAACTGTTTCCATTTTGAAAAATTTGTTTTTCTTTTACCTCTTGTTAGTCCCAGCAGTTCTCTAAACAGGCTTATCTCTCCTACATAGGATTCCTAGACTGGGGTGCCCTGCATTTGGCTCTCACTGCTCCCTCCCATGAGGGGGTGTCCACCTTATAATCTTTTTCCTCTGAGTCCCCTCCACGGACACAGGTCCCAACTCAAATCACTTTTCTTTCCTTCCTTGTGTATCTGTCTTATTGCCTTGGTGGTACAGTAGTTCACCTGCCAGTTTTCAGTTAGTTTTTCGTGAGAATTGTTCCATGTGTTGATGTACTTTCTGATGTGTTGATGAGGGGACGTGAGCTCCATATCCTGTTTGTCCACCTACTTGATCGATCCCTACTGTGAACATTTAGATTTACTTACCGCCTGGAAACAACGAACTGCTTGCAAGCCCTAAATATTTCTTGTAGTACACATTTTGTTATTTTTTAGTAACTATCCCTTAAAAAGCTGTTTCAAGTTTGCATATATTGTGGTGCTTTGGAAATTATTTTGAAATTGTAACTCAAAGATTTACCCCCTTTTATTTGCTATTCTGAATAAGATAATACAGAGATTGTTAATTTTGCTCAGACTTAAATAACTTCTATATAATTTGTATAGATCAAAACACTATTTCTAAAATAGTTTTGAATGTTTAATTATACAATTATGAAATGTTTTAGGTACCAAAGAATTATAGAGAATAATGTAAATAATTTGCATGAATCTTCCACTTAATACACATTATATTTATACTAGTATAAATGATATTTTGTTTTGCATGCTTTAAAAGATTTTACGTTTGTCTAGTTTTCTGATTTGCTGTTTTACTTAGCATTTTCTATGAGGTTCACTTATGTTGATACATGTAGCTCTACTTGGTTTTCAATACTTACCAGTGTTGACGGCTTTTTAGATTTATGGACAAAGCCTCTCTGATCATTACTATGCATATTTCTTTGAGTATATGGTTAATATACTCAAAAATATCCCTGAAATATATACCTAAGAATTTAAGATTCTAGCATTGATGTTCATAAGTGATATTGGCTTGATATATATCATTAGCTCCAACTCATGGTTGGCACATAGTACTTTCATCTTTGTAGAGCTTGTTATTATTTGTAACACACAGACTCTGTATGTTACTGACTCTGACATTTGTTGAGATTTGCTTCTGATAGGTACTTTGAAGTCTCAAGTCAGTTAAGTTTAACACTTAAAATATTATAATTCTAAAATGTAACTTTGAAACAAAACTTGTCTTGTATTCATGACTCCAGTTAATGAAAGTCTATGTTGGAGGGTTAGAATGAGATGACCAGATTTGGCTGAGGTTGATTGAAATGAAAAGAGAACTTCTTGGAAGCCCCTTAAAAATTTAAGTGATCATTTAAGAATGCAGATTCTTAAATTGTAACATCAGTATAAATACCCTTGCCATTTTTTTTTTTAGTTTGACATAAGAATTTTGTTTAAGTAAAGACAGATTATAACAGACTTTATTAATTATGTTGTTATTTAATAGATCAGATGAAAAGAAGAGCATGAACTGGAAGCAGCTTCCCAAAAAGCCGTGCAAAAGTCTGATTAGCACCTTGAAGAAATTGTATCCCCAGCTATTCTCAGGTAAATGTGAGGAAAAAAGAAGGGATTTTTTTTTTTTTTAACTTTTCATTTTATACTGGAGTATAGCTGATGAACAATACTGTGACAGTTCCAGGTGAACAGCAGAAGGACTCAGCCACATATATACATGTATCATTCTCCCCCAAGTGCTCCTCCCATCCAGGCTGCCACATAACTTTGAGCAGATTTCCCTGTGCTATGCAATAGGTCCTTGTTTGTTATCCATTTTAAATATAGCGGTGTGTACATGTCGATCCCAAACTCTCTAATTGTAAGAAGGGATATTTTTAATGAAAGAATGTATATTAAAAAATCCTTGTTAAATTTAAACATAATTTTGCTGTGTTTAATGGGAGTCTCATTACAAAAGAAATTCCAGTAGTAAGAAATAACTATTGTGGTTCATGGTGTTTTGGGCATGTTTTCTGTGCCTCCCTGTTAGCCTCTGCCAATGATCCCTTCACATTAATGAGGAGAGGATTTTCAAGAAGTCATGGGCTTTATTTTGACAATTCCCTTAATTGTTGAGTTATTATATATGTATAACATTATGTATTTTTTTATATGTGTAACATTATGTATTAATGTCATTTATTTCTCTTTCTTGTTTTGTTAGTTCACCGAAAAACTCAAGAAGGTTCAGCAATTGAGATGACTCCAATTGAAGCAGATTTCTCTTGGCAAAAGAAGATGACACAACTTGAGATGGAAATTCAAGAGGCATTTTTGCGCTTTATGGCATCGATTTTAAAGGGTTACAGAACATATCTCAGACCAATCACAGAGGCTCCTTCAAATAAAGCTACAGCTGCTGATTCATTGTTTGACCGACAGGGTGAGTAGCATTGAAAATATAAATACTTTTTATTTTAAATGAAAAAATTTTCTATTTGGTAGTACTACCAAGAAACATCTACTATATAAGGTCTTAGAAATTTATATTAAAATATGGTGATCTTCTGTGTATTTGTAATCTAGTTCTGTGAATAGAATTTCTTTTAACTTTTATACCTTATTTTTTTTCCTGAGAAATTTGAAATTGGAGGTGTTTAATTATGAAATGTCTAAGATGTTGCTTATATTTATAGTATTCTGTGATCAGTTATCTCAGTAGAATGAAGCTGGTCGTTTGTTTTTAGGTGTTTTCTCAACTTTGTATAATTTTTGACCTTATACATTCTAGGCTTTACAGCATTCTCTAACAAATAGATTTTGGAATAAAGCCACCAGTTTTTAAAATTTGTTGAAAAGTACAGCCTTGTTCCAGGGGAAAATACCATACTCATTCTCTTTAGTATTTATAGTTTTAGGAAATTACAAAGATTTATGTTGGTATTCAGCAGCTCTTATATATATATAGTGGCAAACTTACAGATACATCAGTATTCATGACAATTATTTTACATATCTATAGTTTGGCCCTGCAGTTTTGTTTTTTTTTCTTAATCTGTATTTTCCCAATAATCCTTTTATCTTTTCTCATTTCTTTTTTAGGACGACTTATCTCTCAAATATTTAGTTACCACTTACTAAGTCCAATTAGTTATTATTTAGGGATATAGAGGAGTATAAAATCTAGCTCCTTAGGATACCCAGTGGAAAATAATTTAACATGTTTTAAGAAATAGAACAAATACTCAAGAAAAAGAGTTTACATTATTATTCAGTGAGAGGGCATAAACATTCAGAAAAAGGAAACATTCTTAAAGATGAGTATTTTGGAAGACTTCATGGAAGGAAGAGCATGACTTTAAAGAATGAATATAATTGCTATGATCAACCTCGACAGCATATTAAAAAGCAGAGACATTACTTTACCAGCAAAGGTCCGTCTAGTAAAAGTTACAGTTTTTCCAGTAGTCTTATATGGATGTGAGAGTTGGACTGTAAAGAAAGCTAAGCACTGAGGAATTGATGGTTTTGAACTGGTGTTGGAGAAGACTCTTCAGAGTCCCTTGGACTGCAAGGAGATCCAACCAGTCCATCTTAAAGGAAATCAGTCCTGATATTCATTGGAAGGACTGATGCTAAAGCTGAAACTTCAATCCTTTGGCCACCTGATGTGAAAAACTGACTCACTGGAAAAGACCTGAAGCTGGGAAGGATTGAAGGTGGGAGGAGAAGGGGACGACAGAGGATTAGATGGTTGAATGCATCACCGACTCAATGGACATGAGTTTGAGTAAACTCTGGGAGTTGGTGATGGACAGGGAGGCCTGGCATGCTGCAGTCCATGGGGTTGTAAAGAGTCAGACATGACTGAACGACTGAACTGAACTTAACAATTATATTCAGATTCAGTTTTCTTGGCAAGTGGTGCTCACATGAGGCTCACTACTTCTTATTGCAAATCTGCATGTGTACCATTTTTAGTACTCCTAAGATTGATCCATGGGTTTGGGTGTTGTCAGACTCATTCATTCATTATAATTTCCCCACCAGCCTTTCATTTAATTGTATTAGTAGCCTTTGCTGATCATTGCCTAGATCCATTAGAAGAAAAGACTTCTTGTTACTGCTTGGCAAGAATAATTTATTTCTGTTTTATTGGAGCCCTTTCTCAACTAAGTAATATTTCAAGGTGATCTAGTAAGGACAACAGCATGTGGAATGCCCTGAAGCATAACAGAAAGGCTGGAGGAAAAACTGACCTTAAAAACCATGCTTGAAATGGTGGATGAAAGCCAGATCATGTTGGCTCTTTTAGGAACAATGAAGGATTTCAGTGTTAATTCCAAGAGTAATCGCAAGTCAGTGAAGGATATTTAAGTAGGTAATAGGATCAGGTTTGCATTTGTAAAACAAACAAACAAAAAAACCTCTTTGACTTCTCTGCAGAGATTCAACTGGGGGCACCCAAAGTATGGATCTACTTATTAGTTGATTAGTGCATTGGTTCAAATGAAGTGACCTGGATTATTTGATAGCATGAATGGAAAAGTGATTTTTAGGATGTAAATTGAATAGAGCTTGGCAATTGAATATGGGATTTAAGAGGGAGCTTCAGGTCTTTAACAACCAAGTGGATGGTTTATTGTTTATTTAAGTGCCCTTTATTGAGAAGAGAAATGGCAGAAAGGGGAAGGATCTAATTATTTATTAAGGAAAAATTTTTCACTTATTTATTTTATTGAAGTATAATTGATGTGCAGCCTTTATATGTTACAGGTGTACAACACAGCATTGTAATTCATAATATTTGCAGGCTATACTCCATTTATGGGGGCTTCCCAGGTGGCACTAGGGGTAAAGAACCCACCTGCTAGTGCAGGAGATGTAAGAGATGCAGGTTCAGCCCCTGGGCTGGGAAGATTCCCTGGAGGAAGGGATAGCAACCCACTCCAGCTTCTTGCTTAGAGAATCCCATAGACAGAGGAGCGTGGCAGGCTTCAGACACGATTGAAGCAACTTAGCCAGCACACACGCACACACGCCCTCCATTTATAGTTACTATAAAATAGTGACTATATTCCCTGTGCTGTGTGTCCTCACAGCTGATTTCTTTTATGCATGATAGTTTGTACTTCTTAGTCCCCTACCCCTATCTAACCCCTTCCTGCTTCCGTCTCTCCACTGGTAGCCACTAGTTTGTTTTCTATATCTGTGAATCTGTTCTTTTTTATTATATTTACTGATTTGTTTTATTTTTTAGATTCCATATATAAGTGATAATATAGAGTGTTTTTCTATGTTTGACTTGTTTCAGTAAGCATTAAACTCATCTGTGTTGTTGGAAATGGCAGAATTTCATTCTTCTTTATGAATGAGTAATAGTCCATTATGTGTATGCATGTGTGTGTGTGTATCACAACTTCTTCATCCATCCATCTGTTGACTAGTTAGGTTACTTCCTTGTCTTGACTATTATAAATAATGCAGCTATGAATATTGGGGTGCATATCTTTTTGAATTAGTGTTTTTGTTTTTTTCTGGATATATATCCTGGAGTGTAGAAATGCTGGATCATATGGTAATTCTATTTTTAGTTTTCTGAGAAACCTCCATACTGTTTTCCACAGTGGTGCCATCAGTTTACATTTCCACCAACAGTGTATGAGGGTTCGCTTTTCTCCACCTCCTCGCTGACATTTGTTATTTTTGTCCTTTTTTATGAAAGGACATTCTGAAAGGTGTGAGATGATGACTCATTGTGTTTTTGATTTGTATTTCTCTAATGATTAATGATATTGAGCATCTTTTTATGTTCTTATTGGCCTTCTGAATGTCCTCTTTGGAGAAATGTTTGAGGAAAGATTTTTAAAATGAGAGAGACCTGAGTATACTGGTTACTAGCTAATAGAATTTTCCAGAGAACACTGAAAGAGCTGTATCCCAGGCTCATGGTGGGTTTGGCGTTAGATAGGAGGAGGGTCCTACTCACTGTAAAACATGGTAAGGAATAAATGATAGCAGAAAGAGTCATAGATTTTATAGTGAGATAATGTAGTTCTCACTTAACGATTTTCATTTTCTCTGCAATATAAAGTACTACCATTCAGGGATTAGGGAGAGAACATGGAGGGAGAACATTTAAACACTGAAAATAACTGTGAAAACATGAGTAAAGGAAAGTTCAGATTCCAGAAATATAGTGTGATTACTGGTCAGGGATAAAGGTGTAAGTTAAGTGGTTTTGATTCACTTAGTTACTTAACTCCATCGCCCCTCCCACCCCCACCCCCCCCACAACTTGCATTCAGCCACGCTGCTGCAGATCCAGAGAAAGCAGACAATGTATTGCTCCAGAGCTAGGTTATTATACTAGATGAGTTTGACAGAAAAGACAAAAGGGCATAAAAATTGAGAGTGTTGACAAGAAAATAATTAAAATGGACATGGAATCGATGTTAGATAAAGACGTGAAGATAGGAGGGTGTATGTAGAATGCAAAAGGGTGAATGGATTGCAGATTATCCCTCACAAAAGGCTTGGTAGGAAGAACTTAAGCATACCAGATAGACAGGAATAACAGTCAGAGAGTAATTTGTAAATTAGAGATTTGGGAGGCAAAGCTGTTTATAGTGCTACCAAGAAAAGTCCAGGGAGTATGGAACTATGTATAGAAGTTGGTGATTGAGGTGGAGTAGACCATAAATTATTGAAAGTTAAGGAATTAAAAACTCTTTGAAATGTTGGATGGTTGGTGTTATGGGTGTTGAAGAATGATGATGGGAGGAGTTGGAGAGAAGACTTTGAATTAGGTGCCCTGCTCTTCAGTGGATGAAGGAGTGTTTCTAAAGTCAACAGCTGTCTACAGTTAATCGAGGAATGGATAAAATAATAGCCAGAAGAGCAGAAGTTTCTATAAGATGATAACAGAAGTAATTGTCTGGTAGCATTGCAGAGGAAGGATCTGACCCTTCCTGCTTGAGAGTATGTAGAGTATCAGAAATTTTCTACTTGAGATCTGTAGGGCTAGAGACTCCTTACAGGAAATTCAGATTTCAGTGAAAAGGTTAATGGTATAAGTTAAGAGTTTTCATGGTTGAATTAGGCAGAAGGGACTATGGTCCCTTTATATATGTATGTATATAAAGATAAAATAATATATATATAGAAGTTTAAAAATAATACATCTAGTTCTGCTTTGAAATTTGAATTTAATTCTAATTTTATTTTCTTCAGGATTTTTAAAAAGTCGAGATCGTGCCTATACAAAATTCTACACCCTTTTATCCAAAACACAGATTTTTATTCGTTTCATTGAAGAATGTAGTTTTGTAAGTGATAAAGATACTGGATTGGCTTTTTTTGATGACTGCATAGAAAAGGTAAAAGTTTGTCCTGTAAATCAGTATTAAAGAAAAGCTTTAATAATTTGTTGATCTTTATAATCATTATTGTTTTATTAGCCCAAATGATCTGAGGAAAGCATTAAAGTTCTGGTGTTTGTGTGTGTGTGTTTGTGCACATGAGTACACATGCAAATGTTCAGTGCTACGCTTAATATAAGAATTATTTTCCTTTGTGGCATCTAATACTACCAAACATAGCTAATTTTTCCCTTTGAGTCTCACTTTCATTTGTATTAAGTACTAAGAACATCACTGAAACTCCTGAATCTTTTTTTTTTTCACATGACTAAGATAAGATTTAGTAGTTCATTAAAAAATGTTTAGTTTTGGGAATTCCCTGGTGGTCCAGTGATTAGGACACCTCACTTTCACTGCCAAGGGTGCAGGTTCATGTTTTGTGGGTAATGGAAATCCTGTGGGTTTTGTTTGTGTCTTCCTAGATAGTTTTGCTAATATGTTTCTTTTTTTTTTCATTTATTGTTATTAGTTGGAGGCTAATTATTTTACAATATGGTAGTGGTTTTTGCCATACATTGACATGAATCATTGTCCTGACGGAAACTATTTGGAAATATGTTAAGGCTTTACTCACTCATAAAAAATTTAAGTTGACTTTTAAAACTTTATTTTTGGCTGTGATGAAGGGCAGCATGAGGCATTCATGCTACGTGCAGGCTTTTTCTGGGTGCTGAGCGCGGGGGCCACTCTAGTTGCGGTGCGAGGGCTTCTCTTTACAGTGGCTTCTTGTGTTGCGGAGTACGGACTCTAGGGTGCGAGGGGTTCCGTGCTTAAAGTACTCAGGCTCAGTAGTTGTGGCGCATGGGCTTAGTTGCCCCACGGCATGTGGAACCTTCCCAGATCAGGGATCAAACCTGTGTTCTGTGCATTGACAGGCAGATTCTTAACCACTGGACCACCATGGTAGTCCTGAGTTGATTTCTGACACTGATAACTCACATATTTTTTCTCATTTTTCGTAGAGCTCATTTTTGCTAGGTGGGTTGTAGGATTTATTGTTTATGCAAACTATATTTATAAAATTAGAGATTGTATCAAAAAAAGGTAGACTATTATGACATTGTAATTTTATAGACTCCTAATGATTTGTGTATCTTAGAGGACTTGCATAATTTTCTCCCATTACATCAGTGTGATCTGAAACTCTAGGAATACGATTTAAACTTTTCAACATTTTTGTTTACTTAAATATTGATAGTCCAATATCATTCAGTTAGAGAAGCTGGGATATTGTCAATCACCACTCCAGTATGCTTGTTTGGAAAATTCCATGGACTGAAGAGCCTTCAGACTGCAGTCCATGAGGTCGCAGAGAGTTGGATGTGACTGAGCAACTAAGCACAGATATTATCAATTAATGCAGGAGTTTGTTAATAATGAAATTTTTGGTTTGAGAAACCAGGTTTTTGTGATTGCCCATCTGTTCCTTCTAAAGAGGGATATATGAACAAACTAGTCAAAATGAATTGTTTTCTATCCTAATAGTCAAAAGAGAAGTATTATACAAGTATGGGGTCCACCAAATACACTGTGAAGTGTTTCATATCTGCCTGGTATTAATGGTTTTTTAAATTTGAATTTAAGATAATCTCTATTAAATTCACAGTAGACATTTTCACTGATAATTCTTTTTTTCCCCTAGTTGTTTCCTGATAAAGGCACAGAGAAAACAGATAAGGTATATTTTTTTCTTAAATACAAGTTTCAGCATTTTAGAATCAGGTCTTGCTTATATGCAAATTAATTGAAGAAAATACTTATCTTTAGGTTGACTTTGATTCGGCAGAAGATACCAAGTTGATAGAGCTGGATGATTCACAGAAAAGTGAGCACACTGTGTTCATAATGCCGCCTGAGCCACCTCCTGATGACGGAAAGGATCTGTCCCCAAAGTACAGGTACCAGGAGTGATTCTGAAGTTGTTTGGGTACAGTTTTAATAGTTGGAGCTTTTGCAACTATTAGTAGATATGTATATTGATCATTTGTAAAAGTCATTTTCAAAGTGTATTCTGTGAACTGGTGGAGATGGATATCCTATGGAGATATCACCAGGGATTGTAAATTAAGAACCGGACAGCCCTGTTTGAAGGGAAGCCAGATGCCGATCACTGTTAACCTAAACATTTACCGCATTTTAATCTTTAAAATTTTCATTTCTGAAGAAGAAAAATATTTGTGAGGATCCCCTCCCTTTGGGGTGTTTTGTTGTCAGTGAAAAACTGAAATTCTTACGCATTAGTAAGCTGTCACTTAAAAGTAGAGGGCCAGGAATCACTCTTTATTAAAATAAACTTAGAGAATTTAGATGGGAATCTTTTAAGAAATTAAAAAACTTGTTTATTATTATGATCATGATAATACTTAATACATTCAGAAAACCACACAAAAATAATTAGCACATCAATTTAGCACCAATACTTAATGTCTGTTAACAATCGTATGTGTATCTTTTTGTCTTTTTTGTACATAGATTTGAATTTACTTAAAACAAATATTAGTTCATCTTGCCCATATTTGTTGTGATGTGTGTTTACCTTTAATGGTCTGAACGTTTTTCCATGCCAATAAATACTTTCGTGCCATATCATTTTGAATAACTACATTGCATGCCTTTGAACTAGTTTCCTATGGAATTTATTTGTAGTTCTCTGCTATCTATATCTTTGTGTGTACACACAGTTATTTTCTTAGGCTGTATTCATAAAAGAATTTCTAGGGCAATGGGAATATAAAATATAAAAGACTGTTTTCTAAAAATAAAATTAATATATAATCTCACTAGGACTACATAAGAATGAAGAATGTATACCTGAGATGAGTGATTTAACTAAGTACTTTTTTGATTGCATGTCAATTATAGAAAGAGAGTTCTTTTTTTATTTTGGCTTTAATCATTATACATTGGAATGCAGGTATTGACAAATAAGTAAATCAGATATTGACAGATAAGTAAATCAAATAGGAAAGGTAATATATTTCAGAAGAAAATTGGCCAAAGGAAATAAGTAGGCAGTTTCTGAGAAGAAATGCCAATAGTCAATAATATGAAAGTATGTTAAGCTTTTCTAGTATTTAAAAAAATGCAGATCAAATGATGAGTAGAAGCATTTTTATTCTATCAGTTTGAGGATAGGCTTTCCTACTAGTTAGAGTGTATTTTGGAGAGTATATGGGTATAACCTCTCTGGAAATAATTTGACAGTGATTATAATAATTTTTATTTTCTTGATAGACATTTACCATAGAAAACTCTCATAGGGTCTTATTCTAAGAAATTAAATGAAATATTCACAAAGATAGATGTACAAAGATACTTAATTGCCAAAGTTGAGAAATAACCCACAAATGTCCAACAGTAAAGAATTTGTTAAATTATGACACGTCCCTAATATAAAAATATTATGGTATTTTTCCTTTTATATGAATACAAGGTATTTTTATAAAGAAAAATAAAATTGCAAAGTATATATACTAAATGTTTTAATATAAATTATCATTGAATACATGTGTTCTGTTGAAAGAGTTATTAATTCTTTAGTCAAAATATCAGGGTTTTCTGTGTTCTAGGGATTGGTTGAAAATAACATATAGGATGGGGAGGAGCCAAAGTTTCCATGTAGATAGTCTGCTTATCTTATTAATTACATCATCTCACCTATTTGAAAAAGAAATGTGTATACAAGGATTTTGGAGAATAATGTTGGTTACATTTGAGGTTTAGAAATATGCACTTAAATTCTGAAATAATATGAAGAGTTAATGTATTTTAAATCAGCAGTTCTATTTTTGCTTTTTATTTTAGTTACAAATACTTTCCAAGACTGGACCTTAAGCTTTTTGACAGACCACAGGAGTTGAAACTTTGTTTTAGTAGACACCCTACTGGGAGTAGCATTACAAACAGTCCAGCTCTCATGGCTAAGAGAACTAAACAGGTCAGATATTCTTTATCTAATTTAAAATGTAAACTATGTATATGTGATATGTAGCTCATAGTTTAGACTTATCACCCACAGAAATTATTTGAAGATCCACTATGGTTGTTAATGAATTAAAATTGATTTCTTGCAACCCTACTTGTAATTTGAGGGTGAAGGTTTTGAATGCTTATGTTTATGTTCTAAGAGAAGCTTGGCAACTAAATACAGTTTTAGAAAACTTTATTGAAATATAATTCACATGCCACACAATTCACTCATTTAAGTACATTCTCTGGCTTTCAGTACATTCACAGGGTTGTGCAGCTACCACCACAGCCAATTATAGAACATTTTCATCACCCTAAAAACAGAGCCCACACCCCTCAGCTGTTAACCCCCCGTTCCTCCCATCTTTCATAGCCCCAGGCAATCATTAATCTCTTTTCTGTCATAGTTTCGCCTATTCTGGGCATTTCATAAAAATGGAATTGTACAGTTTGTGGTCTTTTGTGACTGGCTGCTTTCACTTAGCATAATGTTTTTAAGGTTCATCAGTGTTGCAGAATGTATCAGTATTTCATGTATTTTTATTGCTGAATAATAATTCCATTGTGTGGAATATTTTATTTATCCATTCATGTACATGTGGTTGGTTCTTACTTTTTGGCTGTTATGCATAGTGGTCCTGTAAACATTTGTGTACAAATGTTTATGTGGTTATGTTTTCATTTCTTTGGGTATATGCCTAAGTAGAATTGCTGTGTCATATAGTTACACTGTGTTTAACCTTCTGAGAAATTGTCATACTATTTTCCAAAGTGGGCATACCATTTAAAATTCCCACCAGCAGTGGGAATTTCACCACATTCTTGTTATCATCTGTCTTTTTGGGTTTAGCCATCTAGTGCATATGAAGTGGTATCTCATTGTGATTTTACTTTTTCGTCATGGTTAGTATAAGTATATTTTATACTGAATATTACATTATAAAGGGAGTTTGGACAACCTAGACATCTTGCTTTAATACTGTATTTGATTTAGGTATAAAGAGTTAAACTATGGTTAGGTGCGAGTTAAATCAAACATCCTTTATATATATATACACACATGTATATACTGATATTTGGGGTATCTCCAAAACATGGACAATTTCAGAATGAAATTCTTAGTTCAGGTTTTATCAGTTTGAGTACAGTCCCTCAAATCCTAGAGGAAACTAGAGGTGGTCTCTAATCTCATATAGTACACAGTTCTCGCAGTGTGTCTGAGGGGAATTTTTTTTAACATATATACTTTTATCAGCTAAATAAAAGGCAAGTTTTTTAAAATGGGAGAATTTTGCTATTAAGTCTCTAGATTGCATTTGCCCGGGAATCTTTCCAGGCACATCTCTTGGAAGCTCGTAACAGTATGTTTAGTGAGAACACATCCAGCAGAGGGATCTGTAGTGCAAGGCTGACAGTGTCAGTCTGACGTGTGGAGGGCTCTATAGCTTCTGAATGTCTGTAGAGTTCGATAAAGCTCAGCAGTTCGATAAAGCTTTTCTCTCTTCCACTTAAATCAGAATGCAAATCAGAAGTAGAAGATATACCTATCAAATTATTAGGTAGGGACATCTGTGATCTTTCTCAGAATATGTTACCTGCAGAGGAATAGGTTATTTGAAAGAAGCTGTGATGAAATTAACACAGAAGGTAGAATAGAAGTCTTGGGAAATAACTCAGAGCACTCAGAACATTTTAAACTTTTTAGTTGGGAGAAGAGTGAGAAGGCTCTGACTTTTCAAGAATGATATTATAGAACTCATAAGCTATGAATGGCTAAATCCCTTTCATTCATCACACGTTTGAGTGCCATATATGTGAAGAGCACTTAATTACCCATTATATTATTATAACATGAATGATGTCCACTTTTAAGGAATTTCTAGTCGCTTAGGAGACACATGCTTGCCAAAAAAATAGTTAAAATACAGAATAAAGTGCTCCTATAAAAAGAACCATGTGGCACTAAGTAGGAAGCCATTCACAAAAGCAAAAATATGAAATGCTTGATTTCAGAGTCACATTTTACATTAAATTCTTCTCTCCCTTTTACTTTTCACTTTTCCTGTCATCCTAATAAATTTTAATCAATGTCATAATTTTTTATTTATTCTCTTTCTAGGAGATAAAAACAGCTCATAAGTTGGCAAAGAGATGTTATACAAATCCACCACAATGGGCCAAGTGTCTCTTCAGTCATTGTTACAGTTTATGGTTTATTTGTCTCCCTGCCTATGTTAGAGTTTCTCATCCTAAGGTCAGAGCACTTCAACAGGCATATGACGTGCTTATTAAGATGAGGAAAACAGATGTGGATCCTCTAGATGAGGCAAGTATAACACTGAGTTGTTACTAAGATAAATTCTATTTGTATTTTTAAGAAAATTTAGGTCTCAGTTGCTTTCAGTAACCTCAGGCATTTTCATTAAACTGTTAACCTGTTTCATAGAGCTAATACCTATTGTTTATTTTTAAATACATTTATTTAAAAGTTATTGCTTTGAAAAAATAAAAGTTATTGCTTTGAAATTTAGCGAGGATTGACTTACTTGGACCAGATTACCCTTGATAGATAGAAAAAATAGTGATTTAATTTTATTCTTGAGATAACTTTACTAAGAATCAAATAGACTTTTAGTAAGTGGCTTTCCACTTAGGACCTGTGTCGTAGGTGGATTACATAACCTATCTGTGATTCAGATATTATGTATCTGAAGCTGGAGGTCTGAGTTGCTCAGCCTTGGCACTGTTGACATTTTGGCCCACATAATTATTTATTGTGAGGTCCTTTCCTGTACATCTAGAATGTTTAGCAGTATCCTTCCCTCCACCCACTAGATGCCAGTAGCTCCATGTAATCAGGAATGTCTGCAGGATAATGATATTTAGTTCCTTTCCTCAAATGGTTAATTTGATGGTTAAGTCTGTTAATGTACATGTGTCTAGACGAGTGCCTGATAGTAAGTGCTCAGTGAACAATGTGCTGAATCTCTTCAGGCTCAGAACCATCCTCAGAGATAGGCAGTGATATTATCCGACAAACAGCTGAAGAAACTGAGTTACTGATTTAGTTCTGTTCTTTGCTGTTTTTCCCTTTAAAAATTATTTTTGTGTTAAAATAACTGTAAATGATATTAGAACCAGATTAGAATTTAAAATATAGTTGGAATAAAAATTCAGAATAATGGGTATTTGGGAAAAAGGAGACAGCACAAGATTTGGAGAGAAATATAATTGAAGAGGAGCACATGATAGGCTAATTTTTATGTTTAATTTTTTCCTCTTTTAAAATAAAAAAGATCTGAAACTAGTACAGCATGTACCTTATTAAGATTTAATAATGCTTGTAACCACACTAAAATTTGTTTTTCTCGAAGTATTATCTGTATGTTATAAAAAACTTTTCAAATACAAGGATAGAGTTACAGAACAAATACTAACATATCCATTCTCACATTTGATTACATATTCTCTCATCTGATGTTTATAAAGCTGTTTGGAAATTAAAAGTGTTTGATCAGTATTAGTGTTTTGTACCTCATATGTTTTAGTGTTATAAAAATTTATTCTGATAAGAGTTAGTTTTTGTATCTAAGATATATTTTAGGATATATTTCAACTATGTGACAGCATATCATATTTTTAAAGTGCTGTAAAATATGCTCCATGAGAGAGCTAGTATTAATTGTTACTGCATGTAAAGTCAAAGCACATTACTTGGTTAAGTTTCTTTGGTAAGTTCACAAGACAAATTTTCTGAAAAGTTGTTTCCTCTGTATGTATGTATTAAGGTTCTATGGTACTTACAAGTAATTACATTTCTTGTTTTCTAACATGCAGCAGATACGACTAGTAAGCTAAAAAACGTTTTTATATTATTTTCCCAATAAACATTCTGTAGGAGGCTTAAAATTTGGAGGTTAATTTGTTGTATTCCTACTTCTAACAAGTTATATTGACAGATTTGTAGTCACCTGAAATAATTACATTTCTCCAACTGGAAGAAAGAAGTGTTTATTTTAAAACTTTAAGGATGTATATTTGCTTGGCATATTTGATGCATTTTATTTATTGATTACACATAGGGTTGCACATTAAAATTTTCACAGTATTTTTATGTAGTCCTTTCCTTTGGTATTCCTAGCAACTCTTTGAGGCAATTATATATTATAATGTTACATTTTACAAAGAAAGAAAGTTTGAAATTTAGATAAATGACACATATATAAGGCCACCTAGCAAGTAAGTGGTTTTGATTTTTAGGTTCATACTCCATTAGAAACCACTGTCTCATTCATAGGCTTAATGTTTGTTTTAATTTGACAGCTTTGTGATCTACATGTTATGTTTGTAAAACTTGTAATAACGTAGATTTTTAAATAAAACTCGTAGAAACCCAGAAATAGCATATGCCATGTAGGCTAAATTCAAGTTAAAATTCATAACATGTTTTGCTTTTAATACCATTTATTGAATTTTTAATGGACATGAAATGTTTGTGTCAAGCTCTTTCTTACATGCTGGTCTGATTTTGAAGGTTCAAGATAGTTTAACTCAAATACCAGCCTAGGTACTTTGGCAAGGTTATCTGGAAAACCAGGCTCAGATGGACCCCTCTTCCTCCATATGTCTCAGACCCCTCCATGTGATACTTGGGCTTTTCCTGTGATAGCTTAGCACTCCAAGAGCATGTGTTTCAAGAGAGAAGTAGAAACTGACCTTTGTTAAGGCTTAAACCAGGAAACTGGTACAGTTGTCACTTCAGGCAAATCCTATTGGTCGTGCAATCTCAGAGGCTTTCCCCTTCAAGGTGAAGGGACAGAGCCCTCTCAATGGGAGGAGTATTAAAGAGTTTGTGGCCATCTTTTATCTACCATAGATATCTAAAAGGTATCATGTTGTAGGCAACAACATAGTACAATTAAAAAATTACATCCCTCACATTTTTACTGTTTCTTTAGTTTGGTGTCTGCCTCTTATACAAGTGAGCCTGGAAGTTTGAAGGAATACTTTGTCGACTTCAGAATAAATTGTTGAGAATGGTTTTGGAAAATCCAGATTAATCCCAATTTGACACAGAAAGTGATTTATTTCTTCATGACTCAGGATCTTAGAGTCGAATAGAACTTGAAGATATTTTAGTAAAACTTCAGTGTAAAACCTGAGATGTTGGACGTCTGTAACATATGGGACCTTGTCTGTGCTTAAACTGGCTCTATTAGAAAGTGTGTTTTATGCTGAGTTCAGTTCCACCTCCTTATGGCTTTTTTGGCATTGCAGAAGTCAGTGAAGTGACAACACTTCAGATATTTGAAGAACTCTCTTGTGCCACATTCTTCTTAATCATGGCATACATCTTTTATATAGTAAGAGTTTTCTTTAACTTAGTCATTTGTGAAGTTGCTCTGATAATTTCGGAACTGCTCTCCTTCTGAATTAAATTCTTCATTTCTAGCTGTGTGTGTGTGTGTATATATACACAGTCATCTTTATGATCCTCTGCTTCTTCACATCTCTTTCCCTCCTTCGTCTCTTGAGTTAAATATCCTTTCTCAATTCTTTTTTCTCTTCCCTTTTAAGAGGCCACAACTTGGCTTTATGGTACTGCTCACAGTTGTTAAACAACTCTGTTATAAATGGAGACATTGTACAAATCCCAAGAAGAGTAGCCTTTTCTTTATATTTTCTTATTCTCGGATTAAGCGATAGTAGTTTTTGGCTGCTGTGTTCACTGCTCTTGTAAGCTGGCCAGCCTCTTGGCCAGGGATCCTTTCAGTTACTGTCTCATTCTTCACGGTTTCTGCTGTTGTCTTCCAAATGTGAGATTCTAAACTTCTAGGAGTTGACAGTTGGATTGTCCTCTTATGATCAGTTCTACCCCTCTTCACTAAGCACATATTCTCAGAAAAGCCTTTGCTAATAATATTACAGTGTTTTTTACTTTCTTCTTTTTTAGGACATGGGTTTATAGAATTCTTTTTGTTATGTAGGCATCCTAGGGATGCTGCTTTTAATTCCTTTAGCATAAAATATAAAACATGATTTGGGAGAGAGCCATTTTAATCATGTGTAATTTTAAAAATGAATTCCTCCTCAAATTATGGAAAATAATAATTGGTCTCTTTGTATAAATTTAGTTACTGAATCCAATGGTATGTGTGCCCATAGGTCTTATATGGAAAAGTTAATAGTGCTGGTACTTCCATTAATGAATAGGTTTTTAGAATAGTTTACCACAACTCTCAAACCAGAACAAAGGACAAAAGAGTAATGACTATTGCTTGATAACTTTGACAGGAATTGAGTGAAGTCATTTAAAAAAAACCTTTACAAGTCACAGACTAATGCTCTGATGTTATTTTTTGTTAGGTGTGCTATCGAGTAGTGATGCAACTTTGTGGACTTTGGGGTCATCCTGTTTTAGCAGTGAGAGTTTTATTTGAAATGAAAACTGCTAAAATAAAGCCAAATGCTATTACTTATGGCTATTATAATAAGGTAAGTAGGATTGACATTAGGCAGTATAGGCTGTTTCTTAACACTGATAACTTTCTATACATTTTATTATTTAGAAAACTTAGAGGTTTGGGGGTAGTATTCTTTTTGTATATATTATATGTGTGTGCATTTAAAAATTCAAATATTCCTAATAATCATTATTTTAATCGTTATTTTACCTTTAGGTAGTTTTGGAGAGCCCGTGGCCTAGCAGTACCCGCAGTGGTATCTTCTTGTGGACGAAGGTACGGAATGTGGTACGTGGCTTGGCACAGTTTAGGCAGCCGCTTAAAAATACCGTGCAAAAGTCACAGGTCTCCTCAATATCAGGTAATACATGTGATTGGAAAGATAACTTTCTTGCTGAACCATAAGTTTTATAGGCATATGAATTTTTAATTATATGAGGCAGAAAACAGAGGTAAAATTCTAGTTGATATTTTCATAGACTACTAAAGATAGAGGTTGCCTTAGCCCAAAATTATTTTCTTCTCTCACAGATTTAGAAAGTATTCTGCAACTGTGAGTCACTCATGTTTAGTTTCAGAGATTACCAGTGAATGAGTTACTGAATTGCTGTTGTGCTTATCTTCAGCTCCCCAGAATGCCACAGGTGGAAGTGATGGGGACACGGTGAGCCACGGTAGCGTGGATAGTTCTAATGATGCTAACAGTGGGGAGCACACAGTCTTCGTCAGAGATTTAATCAGGCTTGATTCCACTGACAATCACTCTAGCACAGGTACTAAAATCTGGATTCACTAACCCTTCACTTAACTCTTATGTTAAGTCTTCCATTTTGTAAGAAAGCTTTTACCTTCCTCTTTCAAGTTTGTGCAGTATGATTACCTTAAAAATACCATGTATAAATAAGGGGAGAAGGTACACACACCTCTGACTGCAGATCATGTCTCTTTATTTCCTGCAGTATAAAATTAACTTTGAATTGCTCTACAAAAGTCTCTCAATGGTACTTTGTGTTTGTTCATCATTAATTTGTGCAAGTATATGATACAATTGTTAGGAATTATATAATAGGCCTTTTGTTTTAAGTATTGTGAGCTGAGAAAGTTGATGCTAGTAATAGAAATTGCAAGTCCTCTTTTCATTAAGTGGATAATAGTCATTAAATATTTGAAGTATGAATATTAAAAAGGAACAAAAAGAAGTCACACACCGTGGAAAAAAAGTATTCTTTGCTTGGTCACTGCCTTAAATGACACTTTAAAATCTACAAAACTGCTGAAGTTTTGTAGTTTTACATACAAAGCCATGGGCATTCAAAGCTGTATCCTCTGAAGTTAGAAATAAGCTTAATTAAAGTAGCATATTTTGCATGTGTGTTGCACATCCTTCTTGTGCTTTTTCTTTTTGTTGTTAATGTTAGTATCTCAAGCTCTTCTTTATAAAGAACTCCGAGCCTTAATTCCTGTGCTTCGTCTGATGAACTTGCCTCCATGACTGAAGCTTCCTTTTCTCTGCTCTTTGTTGCTCTGCTTTGTGCTCTGTGCTGTTTCTGGGTGCTGCATTTGTCCTTGGCTGTTATGGTGTGGGGTGCAGACAGACTTGTATGACGTGAAGCTATGGATACACGTGTGCGTTAATTCTGCCCTTGAATGTTAACCACTTCAGGTAATTTCCCATTTATTAGGTTAAACTTTGCTGACATGCATGGGTGGGGGAGAGGCCTTTTCCTTTAAGTACCTTTACAAGTAGAAAGCAATTTTAGTTTTCTTGGCTTTTTCTCCTGTATAATCATATATGTACTACTGAAAATGCCCAGGTAACTTTATGATTAATTTGCAAAGCATATTTGTTATCTTACTTGAAAATATGCTATGCCTATCTACAGTTCTTATTTTGGGGGTGATTTGTAGCATCATTGTGTCAAATAGTTTTATGGGCATTAAAGATTTCAGTAGGTTTTGGTTGCTGAAACTGATCTGCTGATTCTTGTGCTGGAAACTACCCCCATGATTACAGAAGCAGGTATAAGTTGGTGAAAGTCAACATAAAACTATTAAGTTAGAATCCTGTTTGTAAATTAAATTTCTTTCACCATGTGGGAATTTTCATGAGACTTTAAACCTTATTTTATTTCCTCATATATTTTTTCCTTGTACTTACAGAATAAACTGATTTCATTTGTGAAAAACCAAGAAAATAATTCGTGATATGAAACCATTTCACCACTTAAATAATTATTATTATTTATAGTAAGCACTCTCCTTCTCCCCCTAGATTTTTAAGTTGGTCTCCTTTAAGGGGAAAAAAAAGATCTAGTTATACTGGGAAACTGCATGAAGATTGTGTATTCCCCAATTGGGGAAGAAACTTCAGATCACTTTTTCATATATTTCTTTTCAGTTACATTTCAAATGACTGAAGCTCTAGTATTGAATTTACTGTGATTATGTCTCTGTCGAGTTTCTGGTGATGTCATCTGATACTTTTGGAAACCTCCAGCCCAGATGCTTAAGTTACTCTTTTTATGAAGGATTATCTCATAGAATCTTTCCATTTGGTACCTGATACTGAGTCAGTTAGCTTATTGAAGGCATATCTGAGTTTAATCAGTTTACTCAGTTCCCAGTCCAGTGTCCGTTTCGTGGCACCATCATGTTTTACCAGACTTTCTGAGGGTCCAATAAAAAAATGAACGTAGTCATTCTTAATAACAGTATTTTTTATAAATTTTTTTTAAAAATTGAAGTACAGTAGACTTACAATATTGTGTTAATTTCAGATGTACAGTGATTTAGTTTTATATATATATATATATATTCTTTTTCATATTCTTTTCCCTTATAGGTTATTAAAAAAATATTGAGTATTATTCCCTGTGCTATACAGTGGGTCCTTGTTGGTGATCTAAATAGCAAGTTTTTAAAGTTTGATTCTTTTGTTTTTGGTAAACCCATAGTTTCAATGGTAAAGAGCAACAGAAAGTGAAAAAAATAAAAAGTGGTAGACAGTGGAAGTCACTGTATTTTTTGTTTTATGTGTTTTTCATTGACATCCTTGATAATGTTTCCCTAGTAACTTACCTTTATTTCCTTAAATTTATTTTATTTCCTTAAAATGATGGAACATTAAAGGCAAAGTAGACTTTTAAAAAACTATTTTGAAATCATTTTAAGCTTATTAAATGTTTCAAGAGTACTACAAAGAACTCTTGAATAACTTTTATCTAGCTTCATTCACTTTTAGGTTAACACCTGTATCATTTTCTTTCTGTATGCATGCACACATTTTCCCCCTAAATTATGTGAGAGCAGATTGCATACATCTTGCCCTCTTACCTCTTAATACTACAGTAGCGTTTGCTCTTACATGACTGCAGTAGAGTTTACTAATTCAGGGAAACATTTATCTACCACTTTAATGTATGGTTGTTATCCCAGTGTTGTCAGTTGTAATGTCCTTTGTGGTACTTAACTCCTTCTCTTTAGTCACCCTTAACCAGCATAGTTCCTCACCTTTTCTTTGTCTTTCATGACCTCGACCTTTTTGAAGAGTAAGTCAAGTTATTTTGTTTGTTTGCCAAATTTGAGTTTGTCTGATGTTTCCCTGTGATTAAATTAGATTATGCATTCATGGCTTTTCTACCAAAATGCTATTATAGGCTTCTGAGATGGTCACATCTCAGAGGCCACAGTTTTGTCTATTCCTTGTTGGTGGTGTTGATTTTGGTCACTTGGGGTCAGTGTTTGGTTTCTGTTAGTTACTGTTAGCCCTCCTGCAGATAATAAGCCACTTGGGAAGAGATACTCTTGAGACTATGCAATAATACCTGCTTTTTCATCACACTTTCCCTTTTAAGTTTAGCATCCATTGATGATTCTTGCCTGGACCAGTCTTTACTCCTGTGATGGTTGTAAGGTGGTGAATGTCCTGTAGAAATGTCCTCTTGTGTTTTTGAGAACTTGCTTTCTTATATTACAAAGTGTTCCTGGCTCATTCTTGTACCTTCCCCTGCAGAGCTCTGGAATCAGCTATCTCTTCAAGGATCTCAGCTTCCTTTTAATGGGCGATAGATTTTAGAAACCAAGATCTGGGCCCTAGATATGCTTACTCCCTTCAGGGTGGTGGTCTAGACTGTTTCAGCAGAGCTGGAAAAAATTTTTATGTTATTTTAGAAATACTTCTAATTCCAACTCAGTTACACAAGTTTTTCTTTGCCTTTCTGCATGTCATTTTTTTTCTTTTGTAAAAAATCTCTCTCTTCTTCCACAGTAAGAATCTTGGTTCCCAACATCATCACATTTACTCAGTTGCTCAGTCTTCCAGTACACATAATACAGTTTCAACACTGCTACACACATTTACCTGTGAGGAACAAACTGAAAGAGTTCAGAATTTCACTACTATCCCTCAGGCTTAGGGTGTATACTCAAAATAGTGTATTAAAAGTTACTTGGATTAGTCCTGTCCCATCCTTTAAGTGTAGTTATGTTACTCATAAACAATTGATTTCTTTTGTTTCTGTGTACGTTCAGTTTTAGTTATATCCCCACCCTTGGTTTTGCTGATTTAATTTTTGAATATGTAGAAATTACTACATTTCCAAAAATAAAAAGCAATATGATAATCGTAGTTAGATAAATTTCCTCTCTATCCCTTCCATCCTATTTTCCCACACCTGTTGGTGACCAGTTTTGTTGTTTTATGGTTTATTATTCTTGCATTTCTTTTTGCAGAAATAAGCAGGTGTATGTTTTATTTCCACTTCTGTCTTAACACAAAAGGTGGCATTTTATAAATACACTCCAAAAGAAACTTTCCAAGCATCCAAATCTACTAATTTATACATGAGGAAATTAAGATTCATTGCTTTCAAGTATGTAATGGTTTTTAGTTTTGAAATTCCTTTCTACTATTCTTTGCTTCTTATCTTTGTTATAAAATGTTTTCTATGCTTTGTGAGCTGTCGTCTCTTCTTTCTTTTTAGAAGTTGAATTGCGTAAGTTGGTGGAATTTTCTTTTGACATTTTATAGCTGGACTGTAAATGTATGAAAACATATGTCAGCCTTTATTCTTTTTTAACAGGTGGTCAGTCTGACCAAGGCTATGGGTCTAAGGATGAACTTTTAAAGGATGATGCAGAAATTCATGTGCCTGAAGAACAGATGTCAGGAGACTTAATAACTAAAACAGAAGGTTAAGTACTGATATTTGCTTAGCTTTACTTAGTGAGTTACCTCTATTATTTAAGTCTTATTTGATAATTTTGGTGATAATGTTCAGAAATGTAAAGTCTGGGCTTTATAAGATATTATGTACTGTCATCTGTGGGTTTCCCAGGTGGTGCTAGTGGTAAAGGACCTGCCTGCCAATGCAGGAGACCAACAGAAGCACATTTGATCCCTGGGTCAGGAAGATCCCCTGGGAGAAGGGCATGGCAACCCACTCCAGTATTCTTGCCTGGAGAATTGCATGGACAGAGGACCCTGGTGGGCTACAGTCCATAGGGTTGCACTGAGTTGGACATGACTGCAATGACTTAGCACAAACTCTCTATCATATATGATAGAATTTTGGTAATCTCTGAATTTAAGAATTTAAGAGATTTTTAGAGACTCTGTAGGTCAACCCTCAGTTTTGTAGGAAAGTGAAACCCATCATGGTATTCATTTGCCAATGTAAAGTAACTATTTTGTGACAGAACCGGGACTAAACTTTGAGTCATCAAACTTGTATTCCAGCGTACCTTTTATTTTAAAATGCTCTTTCACTAGAAGTCCTTCGGATATCTAAGTTGACGTTTTTCATTTGTAAGTTCCAATATAGTCTGTGTAGTTTTTCTTCTTTTAGGGTACTCACTGAGATAGAAATGTTTTCTAATAATCACTTTAAGAAAATATGGAGAAATATTTGGCTTTATGACAACACAATGTTCTTCTTGTCCTCTTACACAAAAGTTCCCTTTCTTTAATGATGTCACTTATTTTATGCTCCATAATTATACAGAAGCAAGCCACTCTCCTGCTTGAGATGTGATGAGGAATGTGACGAAAGGCCATGTTAATTGATTCACTCAGGAATGCTCAAGTTAGAATTATGAATGCTAAAAAGTCAGTACTGGCAGCATTTATGGCATAAAATAAATCAGAATAAATCAGTAATAAAATAATCATGTATTCATCTCCACATAGAAAAAAAGAGTCCATAAGATATGTTTAAAAGTACTGTTTCTGTTCAGTACTGGCAAAATAAGAATGATAACGTCCAAATATTTTTTCCCAGAGGTATGCAGTGTCTCTGCTGTTGTGGCCAAACATTCTCAACCTACTGCAGAGCCCCAGAGTCCCGCTGAACCTCCTGCATGGGGTGGCAGTATTGTGAAAGTTCCATCTGGTATATTTGATGTCAACGGCAGAAAAAGTAGCACTGGTAAGTCTTTACATTTAAATTATTAAATATTTTTCCTTTAATTTACTTATTACTTTTTGGCTGCAATGGGTCTTTGTTGCTGCATGAAGACTTTCTCTAGTTGTGGCGAGCTGGACACGACTCTAGTTGTGCACAGGCTTCTTATTGTTGTAGCTTCTCTTGTTGCTAAGAACAGGCTCTAGGACGTGGGTCTCAGTAGTTGCAGCTCCTGGGCTCTAAAGTGTGGGCTCAATAGTTACAGTGCATGGACTTAGTTGCCCCTCGGCATGTGGGATCTTCCTGGACCATGTATTGAACCCGTGTTTCCTGCCTTACAAGGCAGATTCTTAACCACTGGGCCACCGGGGAAGTCCAACACTTCTGTTATTAAGTGTTTAAAACATACTTCTGTAGGTCCATGTGTGTCTTTAGTGACATTATAAATTGTAACTTAATTGTAATGAACATGCTCAAGAATCAAAAGTAATAAGCTGAATCCTGTAAATGCGCTAAAGAGGAAATTAAAATCGTTATTCAAAAATACTTTATTTTTAAAAAGAAGAGTATTAAGTGTGTTCAGATGTTATTTGGAAAACCTTTTTTAAAAAATAAGACTGCACTCATGTATTCTGTAATTTTAAACATTTTAATTCATTTATGGCTGCATTGGGTCTTCATTGCCGTGTGCAGCCTTTCTCTAGTTGCGACGAGCCGAAGCTACTCTTCACGTTTGATGTGTGGGCATCTTGTGGCGGCTTCTCTTGTCGCAGAGCACAGACTCTCCGGCTTACAGCCTTTCAGAACGGGCTCAGTGGTTGCGCATGGATTTGGCTGCTCTGCAGCATGTGGGGTCTTCTCGGACCAGAGACCCAACCTGTCCTGCTTTGGCAGGTGGATTCTTAACCCTGGACTACCGGGGCAGTCCTGGAATACTTTTCTTACTGTCGTGTCTGTTCTGAGTTCTGTCCTCCTTTCTTACGGTTGATAATGAGAGAGGAACTGTAGGATGGGCCTCATATTCATCCTGAGCAGAGAGGCAATTATGTGGTCAAATTCCAAAGGGCTTGTGCATAGCAAGGTAATTCCTATACCTGAAAGGGAATGGAAGAAAAAGATTCATACCACTTAGATTCTACGCAAAAGTGCCAGCAGGCCTTTAGTTTTTGCCCAGTCTTTATAGGTACCCCTGAGCGACTTCTTATCTATGGTTAAGTCATTCGGTCACAGTGTTAGTTGCTTAGTTGTGTCAGACTCTCTGCAGTCACATGGACTGTAGCCCACCAGGCTCCTCTGTCCCTGGAGGTCTCCAGGCAAGAGTACTGGAGTTGGTTGCCACTCCCTTCTCCAGGGTATCAGTATTTGTAATGAGTAACTCTATTGCGTGTAACTCCCATAAATTTGAGTTTACTACTGTCGATTATGTTGTAGCCCTCCCAAATACCCTGAAGGCAAACATTTAAGTGTATGATTTTAAAAGACCATGAGATTGGCCTGTGTTATTTGCGCTTTGTTCCTAGCAGCTACAGTTCACTTCCCTAAAGTCAAGTGTCTTTAAGTGTATCTGTTTGTGACTTCATAGACGTTAATTTGCTTAGCTTTTTAACATGGAAATACTTCTTATTCCTGAAGTTTTTTGGTTTTTTTTTTTTATATACCAATTTCCATTATTTTGCAGGGGGTGAGGGGTTTTGTTCAATAGATGGAGCTAAATGTTTTTTTGAAAAAGTAGTATATATATTCTTAATCCTATTTTCCCAACGTATTGATAGCAGATTAAAAAGAAAAAAGGAGGGCAAGAGTTTTCTTCATCAAATGTTAAGAATCTTCTCAGAATATTGAAATGGACATAGTTTGGGGACTGGTGTGTTTTTTCCTCTTTTTATTGATTTTATTTCCATGTTACATTTTGATGTAGAGTTATTCTATTAAGAAAGGAGGAAATGGAATGAGGCTTTTGTCAATATGTTAAACATTTTAATTTATTTTAAATATGTAAAACATATTTTAACATATTTTAAGTCAAAGTCAATTTAAAATTGAAGAAAATATGCCACTAAACTCCTAGAAATAAGAACCAGTAAATTTGCAAAGATCTTTTCTAAAATCTTGGTAAAATTTTTTTGAAGCAGGTACAAACTTCGGAGTTACGAAACAGGCTAATTTAATTCCCCTAAAAGCTTTAAAAAATATCTCTAAATGCTTATTATTAGTTCTCTTTAGTTGGTTAATTATGATTATTAGATACCAATATGGAATATTAAAAAGAATCTTGAAATTAATTTGAAAGATTAAAAAAAAGATTTTATGAAAGACAGCTTTTGCCCCAAACTCTAAGGTTCTTACCCTTTTTAAAAAACCAATGAGAATCCTAAATATGAATGCTTAGACTTAAGTTCTGCTAATCCCAGTGAGTCAGTGGTAAAGAATCCACCTGCAATGCAGGAGACCCTGGTTTGATCCCTGGGTCGGGAAGATCCCCTGGAGGAGGGCATGCTGCCTAGAGAATCCCATGGCCAGAGGAGCCTAGCGGGGCTACAGTTCATAGGGTTGCACATGACTGAAGTGACTCAGCACGCAGTGATGCAACTAGAGATAATTTTTGGTCTTGGCGTAGAAAAAATTGCATGGTAGCAAGGAATTAATGACTGCCTGCATCACCTAAAGCTGGGAGAGGTTCCTATAGACACTTGATGAAACATGATTGATCTCTGTGAAGGCTGGGATTATATCTGTTTTATTCTCCATTGTATTAGCACTTCATGTATTGGGTGCTTAGTAGGCATTCAGATACTTGTTGAAGGAATAAACTTAACAGAAAAAATTTTGGCTATTCAAATTTTATTAGGCTTCTTATCATTTGCTGATCCTAAGCACTCCATTCTAGATCCTTTTATTCAGTACTTTGGAGAAGTAAGACTTTGGCTATAGCAAATATGTAATCTATGACTATGAGTTTGCTTTGTGCAAAGTAGACTTCTCGTAATAATTGTTGAATTAGGTATATGAAATCTTGGATAGAAGAGATTATTTCTTTTTCTGCCTGTTTAGCTGCTAAGTCATGTCTAACTCTGCGACCCCACGGACTGTGGTGTGCCAGGCTTCTCTGTCCTTCACTATCTCCTGGAATTTACTCAAACTCAAGTCCATTGAGTCTGTGATGCCATCTAATCGTCTCACCCTCTATCACCCCTTCCTTCTCCTGCCCTCAGTCTCTCTCAGCATCAGGATCTTTTCCAGTGAGTCACCTCTTCTCATCAGGTAGCCAAAGTATTGGAGCTTCAGCTTCAGCCTCAGTCCTTCCAATGAATATTCAGGGTTGATTTCTTTAGGACTGATGATTTGATCTCCTTGCTGTCCAAGGGATTCTCAAGAGTCTTCTCCAGCACCACAATTAGAAAGCATCAATTCCTTGGCATTCAGCCTTCTTTATGGTTCAACTCTCATATCTGTACATGGCTACTGGAAATAGTGTGCTTTGACTATATGGATCTTTGTTGGCAAAGTGATGTCTCTGCTTTAGCTGTCTAGGTTTGTCATAGTTTTTCTTCCAAAGAGCAAACGTTTTTTAATTTTGTGGCTGCAATCACCGTCCACAGTGATTTTGGAGCCCAAGAAAATAAAGTCTGTCACTATTTCCATTGTTTCTCCATCTATTTGCCATGAAATGATGGGACCAGATGCCATGATCTTTGTTTTTTGAATGTTGAGTTTTAAGCCAGCTTTTTCACTCTCCTCTTTCATCCTCATTAAGAGGCTCTTTAGTTCCTCTTCACTTTCTGCCATTCAAGTGGTATCATCTGCATATCTGAAGTTGTTGGTATTTCTCCTGGCAGTCTTGATTCCAGCTTGTATTCACCCATCTTGGCATTTTGCATGATGTACTCTGCATGTAAGTTAAATAAGCAGGGTGACAATATACAGCCTTGACATACTCCTTTCCCAATTTTGAACCATTCCTTTGTTCCATGTCCGGTTCTAACTGTTGATTCTTGCCCTGCATACAGCTCTGCTGTTTCTTTTTAGGTCTGCTGTTTAACACAGAATATATTTCTTAAGTTGAATATAAAACTCTTAAAATATAAAACATGTTTATAGATTATATTTATTGATAGGTATGATATCTGTCAGTGAACAATACAGGTTTATACAGTATATATTGCATGATCTTTTCTTAAAATATGTATGTATATGCATAGAAAATAAAAGGCATATTAGACATTAAAATGTTTTTAAGACACAGGGTTAAGCAGTGTTTTGGACATTTTCTGTATACCATCTAACCTTAATCTTTTACTCTGAGCATGTCTCACTTTCAAAAATCAGAAAAAAATATTCTTTTAATAAAAGTTACATCAGAAAATAGATGTATTTTTAATATTCTACTTTCTCTTTTTAGGCAGTACATCAAATGTATTATTTTCTAGTCAAGATCCAGTTGAAGATGCTGTCTTTGGTGAAGTTATTAATCTCAAGAAGAATGGTGACAGAGGAGAAAAAAGACAAAAGCATTTTCCAGAGAGAAGCTGTAGTTTTAGTTCTGAAAGTCGAGCAGGAATGTTACTTAAGAAGAGCAGTTTGGATTTGAATTCAAGTGAAGTGGCTATCATGATGGGAGCAGATGCCAAGATTCTCACAGCACTGACGACAAGTCCTAAGACTTCTCCACTTCATAATTCAAGAACCCATAGTTTTGAGAGTATTAGCTGTCATCTAGCTGACACTAGGACTCGTGTGTCTGAAAGCACTTGGGATTCAGAGCACCGATCATTGGTGTTAGAGATGCTTGAGGAAAGCCAAGAGTTGATCGAACCTGTGGTTGATGAAAATGTAGCTAAAGCTACTATGACAAAGGATACATGTGACAGTCTACAAAATGACAGTAATCAGTCCAGAGACTCGAAAGCAGGATCCAGAGATCTAGCAAATAAAAGAAATAGCTTATATGGTGTTGCTAAAGCTGTCGAGAGGGAAGATGTTGAAACTGGACTAGATCCTTTGTCACTTTTAGCCACTGAATGTATAGGAGAAAAAACTGATTCAGAAGAGAAGCTGTTTTCTCCAGTTATTGCGCGTAATCTGGCGGATGAAATTGAAAGCTATATGAATCTGAAGAGTCCCTTAGGTAGCAAGTCTTCTAGTATGGAACTACATGGAGAGGGAAACAGAGAGTCTGGTGCTACCAGTGCATTTATTCACTCTTTAGAGAGGAGATCAAGCCTACCTTTAGATCATGGTCCGCCAGCACAGGAGAGTCCTGAAAGTGAAAAGGGCTCCCCTTCAGTGTCCAGGTCTAAAACATTTACGGGGCGTCTCAAGCAACAGACTCCCTCCCGAAGTCCTAAGGAACGTTCAACTTCTTTATCAGCACTGGTCCGTTCTTCACCACACGGCTCATTGGGTTCTGTGGTCAATTCTTGGTCAGGGCTAAAGCTGGACAGTATCCTCTCAGGACCCAAGATGGATGTGCTAAAATCCGGTATGAAGCAAGCAGCAACAGTAGCCAGTAAGATGTGGGGGGCTGTAGCGTCTGCCTACAGCTACTCGGATGATGAGGTGAGGGCGCTTCATGTGTGCCAGCCGGCTGATGCTGGGGTGTCCGGAGTACTTGTCTAATATATGAGTAGTTATGAGTTTTCTGGTAACTTTGTTTTTTATATCTTAAAACATGCATATCCTACTTCTTCCTTGAAATGACGTAAGTATACATGTAAGGAATTTAATAATGAAGAAATAGAACATCAGGACTACTTTACAATTCCACAGCTCAGTCTAAACTAACACATTGTCTATTTAGTTGAAAGAATTAATAATTAATGTTGAATCTAATAATAATGCCATGTTGTATTTGCATATCACTTTTTTTAAGTGGAGGATAATTGCTTTATAATGTTGTGGTGGTCTCTGCTGTACATCATTGTGAGTCATTGCATTTTTTTATGTATATATTTATTTGGGCTTCCCTGATAGCTCAGTTGGTAAAGAATCCGCCTGCAATGCATGAGAGTCCGGTTCGATTCCTGGGTCGGGAAGATCCACTGGAGAAGGGATAGGCTACCCACTCCCGTATTCTTGGGCTTCTTTTATGGCTCAGCTGGTAAACAACCGCCTGCAGTGCAGAAGACCTGGGTTTGATCCCTGGGTTGGGAGGATCCCCTGAAGAAGGGAAAGGCTACCCAGTCCAGTATTCTGCCCTGGAGAGTTCCGTGGACTACATACACTCCATGGGTTGCAAAGAATCAGACACAACTGAGTGACTTTCACTTCACACATACATGTGTATGTATATATATAGCTAGCAAGAAGCTGACAGATGACACAGGGAGCCCAGCCCGGCACCTCTAAGCCTAGAGGTGTGGAGGGGAGGGTCAAGATGGAGGGGATATATATATAGTTACATATAATATATATGTATAATTATATAATTTATATAAAACATGTATGTTATATATTTTTAATATATTTATATAATATATATATATATATATCTCCCTTCCATCTTGAGCCTCCCCCTGCTCCGTGCCACACCTCTGGGTTGTCACAGAGTTCCAGGCTGGCTCCCTATGTCATTTAGCAGCTTCCTGCTAGTTACATTTTACACATGATAGTGTATATATGTCAGTGCTACTTTCTCAATTTGTCCTCCCCTCTCCTTCCCCCACTGTGTCCACCAGTCTGTTCTACATTTTTCACTTCACTTTTTAAATAACTTTGACCTGGTATTTCTTTAAGATACATAAATCACTCTACAACTCAATTGATAGATTTCATACTGCATAAGTAAAGCTAAGTTTTTGTTGAAGTTAAGTTGATTTTATAATCCTGTATTAGTTGATTTTATAATCCTGTATTAGTTGATGTTATAATACTGTATTACTTTTAGGTGTACAGCATAGTACACATTATATTCTATTATAGGTTATTACAAGATATTGGGTATAATTCTGTTACAGTAAATTCTTTTTGTTGTTTTTCTTTTAATCTTTGCATACTTTGTAGACTGTTACATTTTTTTGTTGTGAAGGTATCATAACACATTTACAGGAGACTTGGAATATACAAAATAAAGTTATATATAGTTATATATAGTTCCACTGTATATTACAATTATTTTTAGGTAGATAAATTAAGATTTTTATATGGAGTTTCAGTATCAAACTCTCAAAAATTAATAGAATGAATAGAAAAGTAGAAGGGAAGAGTAAACCTGAAAAGCACTATGAGCCAATTGAAGATAATTAAGATTTCTACAGTTTTCACACAACAGCAGGATACAAATTCTGTTCAAGTTCTCATAGACTATAAACCAGGAGACTCTGGAACATACCCAGCAACATCAAACAAGGTGCAGACATTTCACGGCCTCACGTGACTGCAGTCAGACAGACTCTGTTCTCTCTCAGCTCAGTCCTCAGTCGTGTCCGACTCCCTGTGACCCCATGAACCGCAGCACGCCAGGCCTCCCCTTCCATCACCAACTGCCGGAGTCCACCCAAACCCATGGCCATTGGGTCGATGATGCCATCCAACCATCTCATCCTCTGTTGTCCCCTTCTCTTCCTGCCCTCAATCTTTCCCAGCATCAGAGTCTTTTCCAGTGAGTCAGCTCTTTGCATCAGGTGGCCAAAGTATTGGAATTTCAGCTTCAGCATCAGTCCTTCTAATGAACACCCAGGACTGATCTCCATTAAGATGGACTGGTTGGATCTCCTTGCAGTTCAAGGGACTCTCAAGAGTCTTCTCCAACACCACAGTTCAAAAGCATCAATTCTTCGTTGTTCAGCCTTCTTTATAGTCCAGCTCTCACATTCATACATGACCACTGGAAAAACCATAGCCTTGACTAGACGGATCTTTGTTGACAAAGTAATGTCTCTGCTTTTTAATATGCTGTCTAGGTTGGTCATAACTTTCCTTCCAAGGAGTAAGCGTCTTTTAATTTCATGGCTGCATTCACCATCTGCAGTGATTTTGGAGCCCAGAAACATAAAATCTGACACTGTTTCCCCATCTATTTGCCATGAAGTGATGGGACTGGATGCCATGATCTTAGTTTTCTGAATGTTGAGCTTTAAGCCAACTTTTTCACTCTCCTCTTTTTTATCAAGAGGCTCTTTCGTTCTTCTTTACTTTCTGCCATAAGAGTGGTGTCATCTGCATATCTGAGGTTATCAATATTTCTCCCAGAAATCTTGATTCCAGCTTGTGCTTCCTCCAGCCCAGCATTTCTCATGATGTACTCTGCGTATAAGTTAAATAAGCAGTGTGACAATATACAGCCTTGATGTACTCCTTTTCCTATTTGAAACCAGTCTCTTGTTCCATGTCCAGTTCTAACTATTGCTTCCTGACATGCATACAGATTTCTCAAGAGGCAGGTCAGGTGGTCTGGTATTCCCATCCCTTGAAGAATTTTCCACAGTTTATTGTGATCCACACAGTCAGAGACTTTGGCATAGTCAATAAAGCAGAAATAGATATATTCTGAAACTCTCTTGCTTTTTGGATGATCCAGCGAATATTGGCAATTTGATCTCCGGTTCTTCTGCCTTTTCTAAAACCAGCTTGAACATCTGGAAGTTCATGGTTCATGTATTGCTGAAGTCTGGCTTGGAGAATTTTGAGCATTACTTTACTAGTGTGTGAGATGAGTGCAATTGTTCCGTAGTTTGAGCATTCTTTGGCATTGCCTTTCTTTGGGATTGGAATGAAAACTGACCTTTTCCAGTCGCGTGGCCACTGCTGAGTTTTCCAAATTTGCTGACATATTGACTGAAGCACTTTTCACAGCATCATCTTTTAGCATTTGAAATAGCTTAACTGGAATTCCATCACCTCCACTAGCTTTGTTCATAGTGACGCGTCCTAAGGCCCACTTGACTTCACATTCCAGGATGTCTGGCTCTAGGTGAGTGATCACACCATCGTGATTATCTGGGTCATGAAGATATTTTTTGTACAGTTCTTCTGTGTATTCTTGCCACCTCTTCTTCATATCTTCTGCTTCTGTTAGGTCCATACCATTTCTGTCCTTTATTGAGCCCATCTTTGTATGAAATGTTCCCTTGGTATCTCAGATTTTCTTGAAGAGATCTCTAGTCTTTCCCATTCTATTGTTTTCCTCTATTTCTTTGCATTGATTGCTGAGGAACGGTTTATTCTCGCTCCTTGCTATTCTCTTACCATCTGTTCTTTTACCATTATGGAATTATGTTAGAAATCCATATCAAAAGATATTTGAAAATACCCTACATATTTTCAAGTGCAATGTGACATTTACCAAGAGAGATCTTTGACTTAGCCATTGAAAACCTCAGTAAAGTTAAAAGACTGAAAAAATACAGGAGTGATTGCATAGAAAAAAGCATTTAAATGAGAATATTAGTAGCAAAATGAGAAATATCAAAGATACTTTATAAACCTATGTAATTGGAAATTAAATGTCTGCTTTTAAATGATGGGTGTATCAAAGAAACCATAACAAGGAAAATTAGAAAATATTTGTAACATAATAAAAAATAAAAGAGAGTTTACCAGAATTTGTTGCATGCAGCTGAAGCTGTTCAGTGCAACTAAATACAATGTGGAATCTTGAATAAGGTGTGAAAACAAATAATAGACACTAGCATAAAATTTTGTGGCATTTGAACAAAATCTGTACTTTAGTTAATACTGTATCACATGTTAATTTCCTGAGTTTTTTTAAACCACATACTATTTCTTAGACAGTAAATTCTTGTTGCTTACCTATTTTACATAAAGTAGTTTGTTAAATCCATAACCCTGATTTGTCCTTCTCCCCTTACTCTTTGGTAACTGCAAGGTTGTTTCCTATTTCTGTGAGTCTGTTTCTGTTTTGTATATACATTAATTTGTGTTACTTTATAGGTTCCACATGAATGATATACTGTATTGATCTTTCTCTATCTTACTTATTTCACTAGCCATGATACTAAGTCCATCCATGTTGCTGCAGATGGCAGTTTTTCATTTATTTTAAATGGCTGAGTAACACTCCATTGTGTGTGTGTGTTTTTATCACATCTGCATGATCCTGTCATCTGTTGATAAGCACTTGGGTTGCTTCCATGTCTTGGCTATTTTATATATAGTGCTGCTCTGAGCATTGTGGTGCATGTCTCTTTTTGAATTAGTGTTTCTGTTTTTTTCTGGATGTATACCCAGAAGAAGTTTTATAATAAGGAAGACATATAAGTCTTCTTTAAAGCAAAAATTCAGAAGGAAACTGCTTAGTGAAATGTTTTTTATCTTAAAGTATCAACAATCAGTTAAAGCATTACAATTACTGTAATCAACAATTACAGTGTTCAGAATTTTGTTCATGTTTTACTCCTCTAATAATGATGGTTGTTTTCAGAATAATCATATTGCCAGCAAAAATTCTCACAATTATCTGATTTTAATGTACTCATATTATCCACATTTTTCAGATAACATAATTAAAAGGGAAGTAAGTCATTTCTGTAGGATCATTTCTGTAGTATCAGAGGATGTAATGGGGGACAAGATCACAGTCTGGCTCTCCTGACTCTTAAGCCCCTACTCTGTTTGTACTGGGGTCTCTGATTACATTGGACACAGTGAGCTCCTAGAGTTCCTTCATTTTATAGTTTGAATATTGGGATAAACCCCACAGTCCTAATATACATTAGGGGCACAGCATGATCTTAAAGCATAGGTCATTGCTTGAATGTCTTAAGAGTATGGAAGAGAAATTCCAAATAATAGAGGTCAAGGTTTCAGAACATAAGGTGATGAGAAAAGGATAGAGTGAATATATTCTCATTGGAGAAGATCTTATGTATGTATGTGGGATTTTATTTTTTCCAATTAAAGGAGGAAACAAATAGAGATTACAGTTTCCCAGCTGGCCTTGAAGACCATATTTTGGGAGAGAATCTATCACCTAATACGAGTATCTCAGGGTTGGTCCCCAGTGAACTTACCCAGAGCAACACAAGCCTCGGCAGTAGTAGCAGCAGTGGAGATGTAGGAAAACTGCATTACTCACCAGGTAAGGGGGAGGACCGTCCTCTCTTCTGACTTACATGACGGTAATTCTTATCCCTGTACCACACACACTGTAAGCCCCATCTGTCGAGATGATCGGATCGATTTGTATATAGCCACACCATATTACCACTGTTATTTTATAAGATCTTGAAGTACTGTGTGGAATCAGACTGAGGCTTCCTTGGTGGCTGAGTGGTAAAGAATCTGCCTGCCGTGCCGAGGATGTGTGTTCAATTCCTGGGCTGGGAAGATCCCTTGGAGAAGGAAATGGCAACCCACTCCAGTATTCTTGCCTGGGAAATCCACTGAGTTTGTTTTTATTTGTGTATATTTGTGGATTGTATCATTAGTTCTCAAACTTTGATGTGTCTCAAAATCACATGGGGTATTTGTTTATAAGTATATACAAATATCCAAGCCCTAGGCTAAAACTTTTGAGACTTAATCTGTGAAATGGAACTTTAAGAATATATATTTTTGACCAGCTTTCCAGGTGAATCAGATACTGACTAGAGTTTGAGAATTTCTTTGCTATATTACTGAAATCTTCTAGTTCTTTGTTATTTTTTAATTGTAATTTTATTCATTTTCTCCAACTTTTTATTTGGAAAAATTTCCAATACCTCAAAAAGTTGAATCATATAGTGAACAATAATATATTCTCCACCTAGATTTGATTAACTGTTGTTAAATGTACATAAGTAGATTTTGATACTAAACTGTTTGAGAATAAATTGCAGACTTCATGGTATTTCCCCCTACATATGCGTTTCCAAAGAAGAAGGACATTTTCATAATGTGTTATGATGTTTACTTCTCTGTAGGTGAACTTCCATTTCCAAGAGGCATAAAAGGGCAGGAATTTGAAAAGTCAGATCATGGTTCTTCTCAAAACACCAGCATGTCCAGCATCTATCAGAATTGTGCAATGGAGGTAAAAGTTCTATATTCAGCCCATAATAAAGTGGCAGTAAGCATTTTCATTTCAGATTGGCATTTTAACAGAATTCTATGATACCTTCATGGACAGACTAATAAAATAAGTAATTTTGTTGAATTTCCTTGGTGTCTTATGTAAATAAGGCAATAAGCCAGTAGTTTTACCTATAAAGTAAATGTTATTAATTTCAAATGTGATCCACAGGATAAATACAATTCTATGTTTGTCTCAAGAGGATGGACTATTAAGACTATTAAGACCTATTAAGACCTATTAAGTTCACTGTGGTGGTTTTCAGTATGTGCATTTTTCTGCTCTTAGGTTTTGATGTCAAGTTGTTCACAGTGCAGAGTTTGTGGAGCTTTAGTTTATGATGAAGAAATTATGGCTGGATGGACGGCAGATGATTCAAATTTGAATACAGCCTGTCCCTTCTGTAAAAGCAACTTCTTGCCTCTTCTCAATATAGAATTTAAAGACTTAAGAGGCTCTGCAAGGTTAGTATTATAAAAGCTCCCTTAGAGAGGTATGTGCCCTCTAAAAGGCATGACTTCTGGTGGAAGAGTGAAGTAGTCATGGTGTATTCCAGATGTTCCTTTCCTTGCCCTCCTTCATTTTCAATATTTGAGAGAAAATACTAATATTGTAGGAGGCTGTTCTTCCATGTTATTTTACAAAAATGATTATTATTAATAGTTAATTTTTGGAGCTAAACTTTATAAGTTATATAAGTATATCAGTTATTATAAATTCAGAATTCTAACATTAGTTATTATTTTGATATTTCTGCCTTAATCACCTTGATTACGTGCTCTGGAACCTCCCCCCCCCCCAAAAAAAAAAAAAAGATGAAGGGGACTTTAGCTCTTTTCTTAACTTGTTGCCCTTTATGGTGGTGCTCTGTAATGTGAAATGAGTGAATTCTAGGCATTGGAAAAGAGATTAACTGATCTATAATCAGTCATTAAGTAATTGAGAGTTTGGTAACTGTTTGCTGACTTAAATACTTATAATTTTTTTTTCTTCTTGTGGTGATTGTAAATGAGATTGTTTTCTCAATTCCACTTTCTGCTAGCTCATTTAATATATAGAAATACAACAGGTTTTTATTGATTTTGTACCCTGCAACTTCACTAGATTCATTTATTACTACTAATAGTTTTTTGGTGGATTCTTTAGGGTTTTCTAGATATAAAATCATGTCACCTGCAAACAGTGAGTTTTACTTATTCCTTTCTAAACTGGATGCCTTTTTTTTCTCTTTTTTGCCTAATTTCTGTGGCCAGGACTTCTGTGTTATGTTTCAGCTTTTCACCTCTGATAATGATGTTAGCTGGAGACTTGTCATATATAACCTTTATTATGTTGAGGTATATTCTGTCTATATCCCCTTTGTGGAGAGTTTTTATTATAAATGGATGATTGGTCTTATCAACTGCTTTTTCTGCACCTGTTGAGATGATCGTATTTTTATCCTTCATTTTGTTAATGTATGTATCACATTGATTGATTTGCAGATGTTGAACCATCCTTGCATCCCATGGACAAATCCCACTTGAGCACGGTATATGATTCTTTTAATGTATTGTTGCATTTGGTTTGCTGGTATTTGGTTGAGGATTTTTGCATCTTTGTACATCAGAAATACCAACCTATGGTTTTCTTACTTTGTGTGGTCTTTATGTGGTTTTGGCATCTGGGTGATGTTGGTCTTGTAAAATGAGTTAAGTGTTCCCTCCTCTTGAATTGTTCAGTATAGTTTGGAAACCATAGGCATTAAATCTATAGATATTTGGTAGAATTTACTTATGATGCTGCCTGGTCCTGGCCATTTGTTTTTTAGAGGCTTTTTGATTACCGCTTCAGACTGTACTAACAATGAATCAATTCAGATCTCTTCATGATTCAGTCTTGGAAGGTTGTACAAGTCCAAGAATTTGTACATTTCTTCTTGGTTGTCCTGTTTGTTGTTAAATAGCTGGTTTTTAAAATACTCTTATAATTCTTTGTATTCCTCTGGTGCCCTTTGTTATATTCTTTTTGTTTCTGATTGTATTTATCAGAGCCTTCTCTCTCAGTCTAGCTAAAGATTTGTTTATTGTGTTTATCTTTTTAAGAACCAGCTTTTAGTTCCACTGATCTTTTCTGTTGTCATTTTAGTCTCATTCATTTAGTTCTACTCTGATCATTATTATTTATTTCTTACCTTCTACTGACTTTGGGGTTTGTTTGTTCTTCTCGCATTATTTTTGGCTGTGCCCCGTGACTTGTGGGGTCTTAGTTCCCTGACTGGGCATCCAACTTGGGGCCCTGGCAGTGAAAGCATGGAGTCCTTTCTGTTGGACCACCAGGAAACTCCCTGTTCTTGTTCTCGTTCCTTTATGTGTAAGGTTGTTTATTTCAGATTTTTCTTGTTTCTGGAAGTAGGCCTGTATTACTCTAAACTTCCTTCTTAGTACTGTTTTTGCAGCATCCCATAGATGTTGGTATGTCATATTTTCATTTGTCTTCAGGTAATTTTTTGTTTCTCTTTTGATTTCTTCATTGAACCAGTGTTTCAGTAGCTTATTGTTCATTAGCCACATATTTGTGATTTTTTTCAGCTTTCTTGTAGTTGATTTCCAATTCCATACCACTGTGATTAGAGAAGGTAACTTTATATGATTTCAGTCTTTTATGTATTGAGCTTTATTTACTTATTGAGCATTGTTTTCTGTCTCAACATATGGTACATCCTTGAGAAAGTTCCATGTATACTTGAGAAGAATGTGTATTCTGATGCATTTGCATGGAATGTTCTGTATAAATTTATCAAATTTGTCTGATCTTAGGTTTCATTTAAGGCTGCTTTCCTTTCTGTCTGATCTATCCGTTGATGTAAATGGGATATTAAAAAGTCTCTTACTATGTTAGTCCATTTCTCTCTTTAGATCTGTTATTTTTTAATATATTTTGGTATTTCTGTATTAGGTGCATATATATTAATAATATGTCTTCTTGATGAATGTTATTTATCATTAATAAATGATAAATATTTATCATTATTTACTATCCATTTTTGTCCTTTATTGCCTTTTTTGGTTTGAAGTCTATTTTGTCTGATAAGGGTAGGACTGTACCCACTTTCTTTTGGCAGCAGTTTTCTTGGAGTATCATATTCTTTTCCTTTACATGTAGTCTACATTTGTCCTTGGAGCTGAGGTGAGTCTTCTGGAGACAAGTCATTGGGTATTGTTTTATGTGGGAGTTTTGCTTTTCTTTTTTTTTATTATTATTTTTATTTTTTTTTTGTATTATTATTATTTTTATACAAGTTTTATTTTCCATTTACAGTTACTACAGAATATTGGCTGTACTTCTCATGTTGTACAATACATCCTTGAGCCTGTCTTACATCCAGTCATCCCAGATACTCTTTGTTTTATAGAGTATTCTCTCTGTTTAGTAATTTCACTTCTGAGATTGAACTGCCCGAGTTTCCTTTTAGCTTACTGAGTTTCTTTATGACAGCTATTTTGCATTATGTTAATCAGTTAGATTGCAGTATTTATAGCTTTAAGTTTGGGTTCTGGGGGAGTGTAATTTTTTTGTGTGTGGGAGGATACATGTAACTGTGGTGCTTCATGATGCTTGATGAGTTGTTCCCCTTGCCAACATATTTGAAGTACTGAACACCTTTCTGCTTGATTCTGACAATTCAACTGGTCAAAAAATAGAGGTCTCTTGTTTTCTGGTAGGTGGTGATATACTAATAGCACAAGTCTGTGGCTCCTCTTACCTGAGCTGCCTCTATTCTACCTGCGTTTGCACTCCCCACACCCCACTGCCTCTGTCGGAGGTGTGGCCGTGTGGCCTCGCTACTGCTCTCTGGGCCTTGGGCTCATTGGTGCTTTGCTGCTGCCACTGTGGCTGGGGTCTTCCGACCCGGTGTGCTGGGGTGGTGGGCTCTTCCCTCTGGTCTGGGCTCCCCTGGTGTGGGAAGGCGGGGCAGGGGGCCAGAGTTGTGGGTTCCTCAGCGGCCAGAGGGGTGAGGTCCCAGGCCCCTTTGCCCCTCAGTCAGCTGTCGTGACAGCTGCTGCTGCTGCTGGGAAGCTGGAGCTGTGTGCACTTGCCTGCACTGCTGCTCGGTTTTCTGAGGCTTGCCAGAGCTTGCCAGAGCAGAAAGCTGAAACTGGAGGCTGGACTTGTGCTGTTCCTTGCGTTTCGCCTCCTCTGTGTGTTCTAGTCCATCCACCTTTAGATGGACAGGTGTGTGGGAATCTCCAGTGTATCAGGCAGAGATACCTTTGTTGCATTGTGGATGTTTAACTGCTTGTAAATTGAAGGGGCGAGATAAAGATAACTTTCCACTGTGCCACCTTGCAGATGTCACTCGCCTTTACTCATTTTTGTATTTAGTTTTCTTTTTCTTGTTGATCTGTCTTGACTATTCTTTTTTTTTTTCTTAGCCGCACCATGCCACTTGTGGGATCTTAGTTCCCTGACCAGGGATGGAACCCAGGCCCTAGGCAGTGAGAGTACAGAGTCCTAACTACTAGACTGGCAGAGAATTCCTGTCTTTAATATTCTTGATATTAATTCCTTGAAGAGAAATGACCAGTTTTGATGTTATCATGCATTAATTTTCCACCTTATGATTTGTGTATTTGAAATCTTCTTTTTATATAAGATTCCAAAGATTCCCATCTGTAGTAGATGAAAATCTTTTCCTAATGTTCTTCTGTTACCTTTCTATTTTCCCTGTGGTATTTAGGTTTTAAATACATCTGTAGTCTACCTTTGTGTATGATCATAGAGATCCAGGTTTATTTTTTTCCATATAATGAGCCAGTTTTACATCCTTCCTTCATTAATATTATATGTAGTATCACCTTTACCATATATCAAGTTCCTATGTATACCTCACTCTGGTTCTGTGTTCTGTCAATACTGTATTATTTTTATTACTACATTTATGTTATGTCTGGTTGGTAGGGTAAGTTCCCCCTTTGGAAATTTCTTATAATTATTTGATTATGCATATAAAACTTTAGAGTAACTTTGAGTCCTCTCCCACAGAAAAAGTCCACCTTAAGTTTTCATGGGATTCAAATAGATTTGTAGGTTAATTTGGGGGAAATGGACATCTTTAGTGTTACTCTCCTATGAGCATGGTATATATCTCCCTGTTTTAGATCTTCTTTTAATAGAGTTTTAAATTATTCTCCATAAATTTTGTACTTTTTTGTTAATTGTGTTTCTTAAGCTTTTGTGGTATCTTATATTTTCTAATTGAATATAAACCAGCATTATTAATCTTCCTCCCCAGTATGTCATTATGGAAAATTTCCTACTTATGGCCAAGTTTAATTAAAGATTTTTTTTTTACAGTACACCCAAATATCCACCCCCATATTCTTCAGTTAAGGTTTACATTGCTTGCTTTATCACCTATCCTTCCATCCATCCACCAATCCATCTTATATTTTTCTTTGTTTAAAATAAGATGTAGATGGGGAGGGAAATTCCCTGGCAGTCCAGTGGTTAGGGCTCTGTGCTTTGCAGGAGACACAGGTTCAACCCTGGTCAGGAAACTAAAATCCTGCATGCTTCACAATGTGGCCTATTAGTAATAATAATAAATAGTAATAATATTACTACTAACATGTAGTAGTATTATATTAATAAAAATATCTTTCCCCCCAAAAATTGAGCCTTTGATTATCATTAACTAGAGTTCAGTATTTATTTACAGATTTTTTTTTCATTTAAGGTAAATTTGATTTCTGCAAATCAAGATACAGAACATTATTATGACTTCAAAAAGTGCTCTTTATGTCCCTTGCAAGGCAAAGCTCTCACCCCATCCCCACCCAGAAGGAGAAAAAGAGAGAGAAGATGAAAATAAATTACTGAATTAATAGAGGGGAGAGAGAATGACAAAAGACAAAAATGGAAATTCTTAAGCGGGGGAAAGGGTATTGTAAATAGTTACAGGTTAATACATGTTAAAATGCTGTTCTTTATTTTTTTTTAACTAAGAAAATTAATGAAATATTTTGCTTTCCAACTTCCCCCATAGCTTTCTTTAGTGTCTCTCAAAAACTGAAGGGATCTTGTATTGAACTATAGTGACCTGCTCTGAATCTTTTAATTTGAAAAGTTTCAGACAAGAGAAGAGAGAATGAAAGCAAGAGTGTGTGTATGTGTGTGTTTGAAATAGGCAGTATTTCTATGGATTTGTATAATTCATTAATGAGTATTTTACTATACAGTGATTGTAAATATGATGACATTGGGCGGATTCTAGGATTTTTATAGACTTTTTTATACTTCCTTTTTTTTTTTTTTGAACGGATCCATATTTAGCTTTTTCTTGAAACCAAGTACCTCTGGTGACAGTTTACAAAGTGGCAGCATTCCACTGGCAAGTGAACCTTTGGAGCACAAACCCATATCCAGTTCAGCAGAACCTGACCTGATCAACTTTATGGATTTGCCAAAACATAACCAGACCATTACTGAAGAAACAAGCTCTGCAGTTGAATCAAGGTACCACAGAATTCAGAGAACTCTTCATAAAAATTGGGTGCCCCTGTAAAAATTTCATCTTTAAATACAACCTGGCTGACATAGACATAAGTTCTGGCATTTTAAGAATGTAACTTTAAAGGCTACCCACTCCCGTATTCTGGCCTGGAGAATTCCATGGACTATACAGTCCATGGGATCTCAAAGAGTCAGACATGACCGAGCGATTTTCACGTTGTTTAAATATCTAATGAATGAATCTGATGATAAACCATTTTTAATACTGTTTAATGTTTTACAGTGGTCTTTATCAAAAATGAACTTTCCAAAAGTAAAACGTATCTTCCCCTTCAGTGTAGTCACTGCCAGTTTCCAGATGCATGCTCTCTTTACGGTGAAGTATACCTTTAACTCTTAAATATTTACTCAGACATTTATTGAGAGCCTGTTGTATGCTCAGCATTATGCTAAACACGAAAAATAAAAAAGTAAATAAAACCTGACCTCTGTTCTTAGGTGGGTCATGGCTTGAAAGTGAAAGTCACTCAGTCTTGTCCAACTCTTGGCGACCCCATGAACTATACAGTCCATGGAATTCTCCAGGCCAGAATAAGGGAGTGGGTAGCATTTCTCTTCTCCAGGGGATCTTCCTAACCTAGGGATCAAACCTAGGTCTTCCGCATTGCAGGCAGATTCTTTATCACTGAGCCACAGGGAAACCCAGGTCATGGCCTAGTAGAGATTAAATACTTGACAGTGAATCTACATTACTTACTTGGATGCATTATACATACTTCCAGGTGATTTTGTTTAATAAAGGTGAGATAATGCTTGAATAGAGCACATGAATGGGCACTCAGTCTTTTAAAAATAATACCATAATACTTACCATATACCATCTTCCTACCCTTCATCAGATCATCCACTCCATCCTGTTTTTCTGACTGATTTTAAAAATACCTAAAGAAAAAGTTAATTCCTATAAGGCAGTACTGACTCTTCTCTGATATATTCAGTACATTCAAAATTTATTGTAGAAAATACTCCAGCTCTACAGATTTAGACTGTTTAAACCAATCTAACCACAGCATTTCTCCTTCATTTTTTTAAGTGATGAAATAATGAAAGCCAGCGGAGATGTCCAAACTGTGAAAATTTCACCTATGCCTAATAGTTTATCAAAACGAAATGTGTCTTTGACTAGAAGTCACAGTGTTGGAGGTCCCTTGCAAAATATGGACTTTTCCCAGCGACCATTTCATGGCATTTCAACAGTTAGTCTTCCAAACAGTCTGCAGGAGGTTGTGGTATGTAACAATATTATAATTATACTGTGTGTTCATGTAAGTATTTATTAAAATAGCATCTGCTTCTGTAGTAAGTTTTTTTAATCACATGAAAAGTGATACATTTTCATAAGCAGGCTAAGAAATGTCAAATTTCAAAAATATATACAAATAAAGAATACAATGAGTCCTTTTGTGGCACCATCCAGCTTCAGTAATTTTCAACTTAGAACATTTTTCTGTCATGCATATCCCAATTCAGTTCTTTTGCAGATCCATTTGAAGCAAATTTCAAACATAGACTCCATTTGTCAATATTTCAGTATTTATCTATAAGAGATAAGGACTCTTAAAAATGTAATGCTGTTGGTTCAGTCGTTAAGATTCCACAGTCCGAATGCAAGGGGTTCAGGTTGGTCCCTGGTCAGGTGATTAGCATCTCACTTGCCACACGGTGCAGCCAAAAGTCAAACAAACAAAAAAGTGCCATTATCAGACCCAGGAAATAACAAACAATATCAGGGTCATTCAGTCTTCGTTTGAATTCCTAGTGGTTTCAAAAATGTCAAGTATGTGTGTTTTGCAGCTTGAGGAATCAGGATCAAATAATGCTTTGTAATTGGTGATCTGTTTTCTAGTCTTCTTAAATCTATAGACTCTTTTTTTCCCTTGTAATTTATTTGTTGAATGCAGCCATGTAAATTGGTAATTGCAGCTTGAAGCTTGATCAGATTCAGGTTTTTTGTTGTTTTGTTCATTTGTTTATTTTTATAAGACAGCTTCATCAGTAGTGGTATGTCTTGAGGGACATGAACTATCTCTGGGGGGTTCAGTTCAGTTCAGTCACTCAGTCATGTCCAATTCTTTGCAACCCCATGAACTGCAGCACGTCAGGCTTCCCTGTCCATCACCAACTCCTGGAGTCCACCCAAACACATGCCCATTGTGTCGGTGATGCCATCCAACCATCTCATCCTCTGTCATCCCCTTCTCCTCCTGCCCTCAATCTTTTCCAGCATCAGGGTCTTTTCAAATGAGTCAGCTCTCCGCATCAGGTGGCCAAAGTATTGGAGTTTTCAGCTTCAACATCAGTCCCTCCAATGAACACCCAGGACTTATCTCCTTTAGAATGGACTGGTTGGATCTCCTTGCAGTTCAAGCGACTCTCAAGAGTCTTCTCTCCAACACCATAGTTCAAAAGCATCAATTCTTCGGCGCTCAGCTTTCTTTATAGTCCAGCTCTCACACCCATACATGACTACTGGAAAAACCATAGCCTTGACTAGATGGACCTTTGTTGGCAAAGTAATGTCTCTGCTTTTTAATATGCTGTCTTGGTTGGTCATAACTTTCCTTCCAAGGAGCAAGCGTCTTAATTTCATGGCTGCAATCATCATCCGCAGTGATTTTGGAGCCCAGAAAAATAAAGTCAGCCACTGTTTCCACTGTTTCCCCATCTATTTGCCACGAAGTGATGGGACCGGATGCCATGATCTTAGTTTTCTGAATGTTGAGCTTTAAGCCAACTTTTTCACTCTCCTCTTTTGCCTAGATAAGTTATCCATTTGGAGCTATAAAATGACGATAGTGTGATTCTGTCATCTTCTTTATTATATGAAATATATTTATAAAGAGAAACTTATCCCATGGCTTTTGTCTGATTTTCTCCAAAGATGCAGTTTATGTTGGAAAAGCAAGATAAATATTTGATTTTCTTTTTTCCTTTTATCAAACTTCACAGTGAAAAAAAAAAACAAAACTTCACAGTGACAGGTTGGGTTCCTAGCATTCTCCAAGGCAATCCGTTATCTGGGGGCATAGGGTATCGTTATGAACTCATGGATTTAAACACTTACGTTTACATCCATTGCTGTTGCTACCCTTATTGATGCTTGTTTTATTCCTTCTTTGGTCAGCTAGAAGCCTCTACGTGTTGGTGCCTTATTCCTTTTGAGACAACTCTAGTAGCTTTTGTGGGGCTTCCCTGATCACTCAGTTGGTAAAGAATGTGCCTGCCATGCGGGAGATCTGGGTTTGATCCCTGGGTTGGGAAGATCCCCTGGAGAAGGGAAAGGCTACTCACTCCAGTATTCTGACCTGGAGAATTCCATGAACTAGTCCATGGGGTCACAAAGAGTCAGACACGACTAAGCGACTTTCACCTTTGTATAAGTTTTTTTAAAGTTTCCTTGCTTTCTTGTATTATAAGATGTTTGACACTCAAGTATTACGTATTTCCTTCTTCAGACCTTGAATCAGTCATTTCTTTAAGAAACATTCCTTTTAAAGAAAAACAGTATTTGGAGATCTCAATCTGGGCACCATGGGTGCTTGTTAATATTGGTCATAAACATTTAATTCTAATTGTGCACAACTTACAAAGTCTAGGTTGGGTTTCTTTTTTAATTCACTATTTCATTTGATTTATAAAATTGCTCTTTAGTTTTTATTGCAGTCAAATGTATAAACAAGTTAGATATATTTTAAAGACTCATCAAATATTAACACAAAAAATGGCCTCATCTGTTTAGTTTTACGTGGAAGATAAAAGTCAGATTTTTTTGGTATCATCAGAATACCAAAATATATCAGAATATCATTTGAAACATCAGAAATGCAAATATTTCTTGTAAAAAGTTGAAAAGGAAAAATCAGTCATACATAGGGCATTGCTGTTAATGGGATAAGAGAAACTCATGTTTAAAATAGGGCCTGAAAAAAATAAAATAAAATAGGGCCTGGTATATGGATTAATAATTTTTGTTCATAATCATTTAACAAGGGTATTTATGATTCAGTACTTTTTCTTCTTTTATGTTTTCTTTAGGGTGTTCTACTACATGTAGTAATGGCCCTGAAATAAGTTTGAAAGGACAGAAAAGTATGCTGTCATTGAGACATAACTCTGAAGCATACATACTAAAACTGATCATGCTCACTCTCTCTCTATTTCTGTCTTTAAGGATCCTTTAGGAAAAAGACCCAACCCTTCCCCTGTCTCTGTGCCTTACTTGAGTCCTCTAGTGCTTCGCAAAGAACTTGAATCTTTGCTAGAAAATGAAGGCGATCAGGTGATTCACACATCCTCATTCATCAATCAACATCCAATCATTTTCTGGAACCTCGTTTGGTATTTCAGGCGTTTGGATCTTCCCAGTAACTTGCCGGGACTTATCCTCACTTCTGAACACTGCAATGGAGGCGTGCAGGTAGGGAACCAACTTCTGTACTTATACTATATTCATGTTGGTTAGGATGAGGCTTAACTTCAGGTATTAGGAAGTATACAATAGTAGTGTTAAGTTATAGGTTATTTCTCTCTCACTTAAAAATTTAGATAGGTGGTCCAGGGATGGTATAATGCTAGAGACTTGAGATCCTTCTATCTTTTTTGCTTGCAGTGCAGCCTCCCATTTCCAAGTTTTATACCTGGTCTAGGGTAGCTGTACTCTACTTCCAAGCTACCACATCCATATTCTAGCCAGCAGTAAGAAGAAAAATGGATGGAGAATATATTCTTTATTTAGGGATAATTCCTAGATTTGCATATAATCTTTTCATATATATTTGTTTGGCCTAAATTTAGTTATATGATCATTTCTAGTGGCAGGGGTAACTAGAAAAGTACTTTTTATTCTGAAATATAATATTCCCAGCTGTGAGGGGTGTTTGGGGGAGAATGGATACATGTATATGTATGGTTGAGTCACTTTGCTGTCTACCTGAAACTGTCACAACATCGTTAACTATACTCCAATATAAAATAAAGATTTTTTTAAAAAGATATTCCCAGCTGAAATTCTCACAACTTTATTTTAAGGGATTTGTATTAGCCATATTTTTCAGATATAATTAAAAACTAGTGAAGTTATTTTGCTAGGTCACATACTGAATAAATGATGGGGGGCTAAGACCACAGTCTGGCTCTTTGACTCTGTTTGAGCTGGCATCCTTGACTGCCAGGGAGACAGTAAGCTTATGATACTGAATATCGAGAGATATCCCCCACCCCAAACATAGATCAGAGGCACAATAAACTTTTAGAGTCTTGTACACTGTTTTGACTCATTTATGTACTAGTCAGTACAACGAGATAGCAGTAACTGTTGTACTTTCTTGTACCTTAAAATTTGTTGTGATGGAGGTTAATCATTCATGTGACTGCTGTGCCAGTTATCAAGCTGTCACTCAGCCCTTGAAAGTCAGAATGAGAATCGTGCACCTCAGAAAATAATAACATTTGTACTTAGATATAAATAAAAATTAAAATTTTTCTTCTGAGTTTTAGGTCTAGAGTTTTATTTTTTTTACAAACCCTTATGTCGAGGGCTGACTTTCAGTAGATCACAACGAGGGAGCTGCTCTGCTGTGTACTAAATCTCTACCCAGAAGCAAGCCATCTACGAATGGTTTGGCACCAGGTTCCCCAGGAACGTGCAATGTGTGACGGGCGAGGGGGCAGCTGCCTTTCCAGCTGTACTGTGTCCCAGGAGGAAGGGCTCTCCACCATGCCCTTCTCCCGTGCTCCAGGTCTAGAATTTTAAAAAGGACTCATCTGTTTTATATAATCAAGCTTTGCTAGGTCCACTGATAATTATTATTATGCTTAGTTATTACCATGCTTAGGGTACTAATACTTTCTATTGATCTTTTTTAGCTTCCCCTGTCATCTCTGTCCCAGGATAGCAAACTCGTTTATATTCAGCTGTTATGGGATAATATCAACCTTCATCAGGAGCCAGGAGAACCTCTGTATGTTGCATGGAGAAATTTTAGTAAGTAAAATAAAGACATAAGACTCAAACTGGAAACAACCAAATATCCATCCACAAGTGAATGCGTAGGCAAGTTACTGTGCAGTCCATCCACACAGCAGAATACTGTTTAGCAGTAAATAAAAATGGATGCCTGAGGGAAAAATAGAATTAAGGAGATGAGATTAATTATTTTGCTTTGTTTTTAAATCTTTCATTCACTTTTAGTATCTCCTCAGGCTTTTTTCCATTTTATTTCAAATTTATTTGTTTTACCAACCTGTTTATTAGATGTCCAGTTGAGCTGAAGAGTGGCTTTTTTGTGTGATTCTTAACAGTTTATCTGTCAAATATTAATTTGGTAAGGTATTTGGAGAGTAAATTCTGTATAGCAAATGTGTTTGTGTAGATCATAATTTCAATTATATGGGTACAAGCCTCAAAAGATTTTGGCTTTATTTGCAGTTTTTTATATATAGAACATATTTTTACAAGGGGTTTAAATGGTTATCCAGTATTCAGAAGCCTTGTGAGTCTGTAAGAAACCACAGACAATCCAATAGGTCAATGAGTAAATGGTATCAGTAGGCAGTTTCTGGAAGAAACATTAAAATGCTCTGTTCTGTAGATATACAGTGTACAAAGCTGTCGTTAAAGCAGTGCTTCCCAAAAGATTATAATAATGAAAAACTTAATACCTAACAAGAGAGTTGTGATAAATCCACATTTTGAAATGTTGGCAAACAAGAAAAGGAAGGAGTTATTTCTATATAGGTTCCTGAAAGGATAGATGCCCATTATATTAAGTGGAAAAAAGGCAAGTTGTAGAACAGTACATTTTGCAGGAAAACAAAACCAAAATATTTTATTAATAAATTTTATTTATTGATTTTTATATTGATTTTTGGCTGTGCTGGCTCTTCATTGCCGCACGGGCTTTCCTCTGGTTGCGGTGAGTGGCGGGCTGCTCTCTCGTTGTGGTGCTGGGGCTTCTCATTCAGCGCTTCCCTTGTTGCGGAGCACAGGCGCCAGGGCGTGTGGGCTGCAGGAGTTGTGGCTCCCAGGCCCCAGAGCACAGGCTCAGTAGTTGTGGCACATGGGCTGAATTGCTCTGCAGCATGTGGGATCCTCCCGGATCAGGGATCAAACCCACGTCTCCTGCATTGGCAGGCCGATTCTTTACCACTGAGCCACCAGGGAAGCCCCTATATGTTTTTAATGTATGCATAGCAAAAGGTCTAAAACTATACATGTCCCAAGCTGTTAGCAGTACCTGCTCATGAGAAAAGGGATTGTATTTTTTCCTACAGTCTTTTACTACTTAACATTTTAACTTGAATTATAACTGCAATTTCTTTAGTTGTTTCCCCTCATATCTTGAAATAGAAAAGTGTTTTGAAAAGTTCTCTAATTTGTGGTAGGAACAAAATTTAGAATTCCCAAGAATAGCTTTGTTTCTTTACTTGGTTTCTTTAAATGAAGAATTGGCACATAAATAAAATTATAAGACATAATAGAATTGAATGGTGACTTTTGGAAAAGCAGTATGGGGAGCTGCACAGTCCCACTTCCCAGCAAAACAACATAATTGGTGAAAGTTATTAAAGACAAAAAAATATATCTCTCTTGTCTATGACTATAGAGGAAAATGAAGAAACATTTATTTAAGAAAATATATATTAAATTGCAGTAAAAGCAGTGATTTCTGTAGCACTTGGGATCCAACTTGCTGCTCCCCACCAGCCCCCAGTCAAGGGTTACAGCATCTCCCTGGGAAAGACCCGTTGTCAGCAGTTCTCATCCTCCCAGCTCTATAGCACAGAGGCTCAGTTCCTCCACTCAGCCCCCATTCATCGCCTGTTTCGGCACCCCTTGAATACTGGGGCTCTGATTGTTCTCACAGCATGTTGCTCATAAGGGAGAGGTTTTATGCCTTTTGAGGCAAGCTAAAGAATCAGAGGTAATGGCATCCCTCCAGTGCCCCACTCACAAAGTGGGGGAATCATTCTAAGAGAAAGGCCACCGTTCCCAGCCCCGGCTCCAGAGCAGTGGCCGAGAGGCAGGCCATAAGAACAGAGAGTTCAAAAATTCTCCCCAAAGGAAATGATCTTATTTGGAACAGACTGGAGAAGTTCAAGCCTAAAAGCAGACTTGGAAAAAGTGGAGATTTTGGTGAGAGGGCCAGTATTACCCTGATAAAAAAACCAAAGTAATCACAGGAAACAAAAACGAAAAATCTGTATCACTTATGAATATAGACATAAGGATCCTCAGCAAAATACTATAAACCAAATCCAGCAATTTATAAAGGGGACTGTATATCATGACCAGTGTTGTTACCCCAAACATGCTGTGTTGATTTGAAAATCACTTACTATAATACACCATATCAGTCAGAATAAAGGACAAAATCCACATGATCATCTGAATGGGCACAACTAAAGCATTTCATAAAATCTCTTGTCCTTTGTTAAAAACACTCAACAAGCTAGGAATAGAAAGAAACCTCCACAGCCTGATTATGAATATTGGAAAACCCACAACTGGCCTCATACTTAGTGGAGAAGGACTGAATACTTTCCCTCTGAGCACAGGAACATCCAGATGTCTGTTTTCATTATTTCAACATTGTGCTGAAGGTTCTTGTTAGAGCAATTAGATGGGAAAATAAAAGGCATCTAAATTAGAAACGAAAAACTATCCGTATTTGTAGGTTCTGTGATCTTATATATGGAAAATCTTAAATTAGAAAATCCTAAGGAAATAGACACACACACAGAAAAAGACAAATGGATAAGTTCACCAGAGTTACAGGATATATGATCAATATATAGAAATCAACTGTATTTCTATATACTGTCAATAATCCAGAAATTAAGAAAATAACTCCATTTATAATAGCATTAAAAATAATAAGATACTTACAAATAAATTCAATAAAAGAAGTTAAGAAAATAAAAACCACCTAAATAAATGGAAAGAAATCCCATGTTCATGGACTAGAAAAGTTAATACTGTTAAGATGGCAGTACTCCCAAATTGATCTATAGATTCAGTACAATCTATATCAGAATTCCAGGTGGCTTTTAATAGAAATTGGCAAGCCTGTCCTAAAATTCATACGGGTTTTCAAGGGACCTAGAATAGTCAAAATAGTAGGACTCATACTTCTTGACTTGAAAACTTACTGCAAAACTACAGTAATCAAAAAAGTGGAAAACTGGCATAGGATAGATACATAGGTCAATGGAATAAAGTTGAGTTTCCAGAAATAAACCCACACATGTTTAGTTAATTGCCTTTCAGCAAGAGTGCCAAGGATCATTCAGTGGGGAATGAATAGTCACAACTGAAACAACATGCAGAAAAGATAAAGTTGGATTTCTTTCTCACATCATACATAAAAATGAACTCAAAATGGATCATATACCTAAATGTAAAAGCCAAAACTATAAAACTCTTTAAAGAAAACATTGGAATATATTTTTTCATGACCTTTTATAGGACCAGGCCTTCTTAAATACCCCCACAGAGGTGACAAAAGAAAAAGTAGATAAATTGGACTTAAAAACATCTGTGCTGAAAAATTAACCATTAAAAAGTGAAATGTCAACCCACAGAGTGGGGGGAGATATTTGCAAAACATAAAAAGTATCTTAAGGATTTGTATTCAGAATATATAAAGAAGTTTTAAAACTTATCACAAAGAAGACAACTCACCTAAAAACTGGGCAGAAGATCTGTCTTAATTAGTTCGGGCTGCTGTAACTAAATAGTACAAACTGAGTAGCTTACTAAAAAGTGTACTTACTATTACTTTATTAGCTTATAAAAATTTTATTTCTCACAGTTCTGGAGGCTGGAAGTCCGAACGCCAGGTTGCTGGCATGATCAGTGAGGGCCCTCTTCTGCATGGCAGACATATTACGCCCTCAGGCAGTACAAGGGATGAGGGATCTCACTGGTGCCCCCCCCCCCCTTTTTTTTTTTTGGTAAAAGGATGTTTTATTTAGCAGTTGACAAGAATAAAAAACCAAGAAAAACTAATACCCTATTTCTGTTACACAGTTTTTTTTTTTTTTTTACATGTATTCCCCATCCCGGTCCCCCCTCCCACCTCCCTCTCCACCCTATCCCTCTGGGTCTTCCCAGTGCACCAGGCCCGAGCACTTGTCTCATGCACCCAACCTGGGCTGGTGAACTGTTTCACCCTAGATAATATACGTGTTTCAATGCTGTTCTCTTGAAACATCCCACCCTCGCCTTCTCCCAGAGTCCACAAGTCTGTTCTATACATAGGAGTCTCTTTTTCTGTTTTGGTGCCCCCTTTTTAAGGGGTGCTAAACTAATCCATTCGTGAGGACTCTGCCCTCATGATCTTACCACCCACTGATGGTCTCACCTCCCAATACCATTTAGTAAGCATTCCTTTTCAACATATGAATTTTGGGGTGACACATTTAGATCCTAGCAGGATCCTGAATTGACATCTCTAAAAAAGACATGCAGATGGCCAGAAACAAATGAAAGGATGCTCATTATCACTAGTGGTCAAGGACATGTAAGTCAAAACCACAAAGAGATACCACTTCACACTCACTAGATTGGCTTTAACCAAAAGGGCAGATATTAAGTTGTGGTAAGGATGTAGAGAACCCCAGTTCCTTGCTAATTGGGATAAAAAATAGTTCTGTTGCTTTGGTATAAATAGTTTCACAGTTCCTCAAAATGGTAAACACCGTATATGACACAGCAGTTGCACTCTTAGGTATACACCCAAGAGAAATAAAGGCACATATCCACATTAAAACTTGTACACTGTTCTCAGCAATAAATTTTCCTAATATCCAAGTAATGGAAGCAATCTAAATGTTCATATTAACTGATAAGAGGAAAGTATGGTATATCCATACAATGGTATATTATGTGGCAACAAAAAGTAGTGAATACTGATATGTTACAAAATGAATGAATTTTAAAATATTATAGAAGACAGACACAAGAGTATTTTATATGAAACAATCAGAAAAGGCAAATCTGTAGAGACAAAATTAGATTAGTGGTTGCCTAGGGCTGAGGGGGTGGGAAGATAGAGAAGTAACTGCTAATAGGTATATTATCTTTGAGTTGAATGCCCTAAAATCATAGCATACAATGAAATTAAATCTGTTCAGCAGTAGAAAAACTAGGATTAAAACCCATAGAGGTTGTCTTTTTTCCATTGTATATCCTTGCCTCCTTTGTCAAAGATAAGGTGTCCATAAGTTTGTGGATTTATCTCTGGGCTTTCTATTCTGTTCCATTGATCTATATTTCTGTCTTTGTGCCAGTACCATACTGTCTTGATGACTGTGGCTTTGTTGTATAGTCTGAAGACAACCTCTTTAACAAGTGGTGCTGGGAAAACTGGTCAACCACTTGTAAAAGAATGAAACTAGAACACTTTCTAACACCATACACAAAAATAAACTCAAAATGGATTAAAGATCTAAATGTAAGACCAGAAACTATAAAACTCCCAGAGGAGAATAGGCAAAACACTCTCCGACATAAATCACAGCAGGATTCTCTATGACCCACCTCCCAGAATATTGGAAATAAAAGAAAAAATAAACAAATGGGACCTAATGAAACTTAAAAGCTTTTGCACAACAAAGGAAACTATAAGCAAGGTGAAAAGACCGCCCTCAGATGGGGAGAAAATAATAGCAAACGAAGCAACAAAGGATTAATCTCAAAAATATACAAGCAACTCCTGCAGCTCAATTCCAGAAAAATAAATGACCCAATCAAAAAATGGGCCAAAGAACTAAACAGACTTCTCCAAAGAAGACATACAGATGGCTAACAAACACATGAAAAGATGCTCAACATCACTCATTATCAGAGAAATGCAAATCAAAACCACAATGAGGTACCATTACACACCAGTCAGGATGGCTGCTATCCAAAAGTCTACAAGCAATAAATGCTGGAGAGGGTGTGGAGAAAAGGGAACCCTCTTACACTGTTGGTGAGAATGCAAACTAGTGCAGCCACTATGGAGAACAGTGTGGATATTCATTAAAAGCCTGGAAATAGAACTGCCATATGACCCAGCAATCCCACTCCTAGGCATACACACCGAGGAAACCAGATCTAAAAGAGACACGTGCACCCCAATGTTGATCACAGCACTGTTTATAATAGCCAGGACATGGAAGCAACCTAGATGCCCATCAGCACACGAGTGGATAAGGAAGCTGTGGTACATATACACCATGGAATATTACTCAGCCATTAAAAAGAATTCATTTGAATCAGTTCTAATGAGATGGATGAAACTGGAGCCCATTATACAGAGTGAAGTAAGTCAGAAAGATAAAGACCATTACAGCATACTAACACATATATATGGAATTTAGAAAGATGGTAACGATAACCCTATATGCAAAACAGAAAAAGAGACCAAGGATGTACAGAACAGACTTTTGGACTCTGTGGGAGAAGGCGAGGGTGGGATGTTTTGAGAGAACAGCATCAAAACATGTAGGGTGAAACAGATCACCAGCCCAGGTTGGATGGATGAGACAAATGCTTGGGCTTGGTGCACTGGGAAGACCCAGAGGGATCGCGTAGAGAGGGAGGTGGGAGGGGATCGGGATGGGGAATACATGTAAATCCATGGCTGATTCATGTCAATGTATGACAGAAACCACTACAATATTGTAAAGTAATTAGCCTCCAAGTAATAAAAATAAATGGGAAAAAAAAAAGACATAGAGGGCTTCCCTTGGTGGCTCACTGGTAGAGAATCTGCCTACCAATGCAGGAGCCAGGTTTAATCCTTGGTCTGGGTCTTCAAGATACCACATGCCATGGAACAGCGAAGCCTGTGTGCCACAAATACTGAGCCTGTGCTCCAGAGCGCGGGAACAAAGCTAGCGAGCCCTCGTGCTGCAGCTGCTGAAGCCGGCGCGCTCAAGAGCCTGTGCTCCACGACAGGAGAAGCCTGCGCGCATGACTACGGAGCAGCCCACCCTCACCGCAGCCGGAAGCAAGCCTGGGCAGCAGCAGAGACCCAGTGCGGCCCAAAATAAGTAATTTTCACAAAACATAAACCCATGGCAGCCAGCATTTCCTCTTGTAACAGAGAACTTTGCTTTTTGGTTCAATACAAAGGAAATATTACTAGTTACCTTTATTAAGGGGCTGGATTGTATGCAAATTAAATAGCTTGCTTTATGACAGATGCTCAAAAGGAGGCTGACTGGGCAACTTTTGGATACACAGTTCCATCTCAGCTGATGTGGGTATAATAAAACTGTATGGTTGCTGGGACTACCTCCAGTATTGAAGTTTACCCTTTTTCTGGGCCACGCTTACATTGTTGATTTGGTGTATTTTTATTTTTATTTTATTTATTTATTTATTTTTTTTGCCTACTTAAACACAGAACTTTATTGAAAACAGGGCATGACTCAAATCGACATCAGTAACACCAGAACATCAATCAAAAGGGTAGCTTACTTATGATGGCTCAATTCACTGTAAGTTTAAATACTAAATTCACAATCTGGACAAAAACAAGTATCAACAAATGTGCTTTCAGTTTTAGTATTTGTTTGGCATCAGAAGATAGATCCAGCTCATACAAAGTTGGGCAAAGTTAGTATCAGCATTAAGGATGCACATTACAACATAGAACCAACTTTGAAAATGTTATTCAAGGATCATAACTCAGGAACATAAGGATAATCACAGCCAAGTAATTAATCATACTCATTTTTTTGGTCTGCCTCGGGGTCATTTTTATGGTCTATTTTGCCTTGCAGTTCCTTAGCAAATTTCTCAATTTCATGGAAAGCAGAAGTAAGTGGCTCAAGACTGAAATCATCATCAGCGAACACCACCTCTTTTTTTATATTGTTACCAATATTCTCAAGCAGTGCTAGAACAACTTGAATATTATTTGTCTCTTTCCTGCTAAAAAGGCCCAATTCTGACACTGCTTCAGCATTGAGTAGTTCTTTTGTCATGACAGGATTTTCAGACAAATTCAACAGCATTTTCAAAACATGAAACCTCGTTTCAGTATTGCCTGTGGCTAATAACAAAAGAAACCCAGATATATACCTGGCAACCACTGTGTGATAGTCAGTGGCTCTAGTGAGGTGTCTAACCATCTTTATTCCAGATAACTGCTCAGGGGAAGCCAAGCTATAAGCAACAGTTTCCTCACATACCTGATATACATATGTCTGAATTATGTATAGATTTGGGTAAGGTGGAGCCATGTGAATCATATTCTCTAAAAACCTTGTCCTAACTCGGGAGGAGGGATAATTGAGCAAGGTTTCAATAAGTGAGACAACACCTGAATCATGAATGAAATCATAAGCATATTGAGAAGTAGTTCTCATACCCATTGCAATTTTAGATATTTCATGAATACAAGGATCTCGAATTTTGTCCATTAATAGTTCTTCTTCAAACTCTTCAGGACCAATTTTAAGCTCACACTGTATGCAGCTGCAGGAGCAACTCTCAGGCTCTGCACTCTCCCTGGTCCTAAGATGCTCCCGAATTTGCATGACTGACCAGTAGAATGGATCATACTGTTGAAGGTAGTGCTTAGCAGCAATTCCAACACCACCAGAGCTGCCACTGGAAGTCAGTCTGCACTGATGTAGCACAATTTCTTGCTCCTTTCTTTGATTCCAGTGGTGTCAAACTCTACAGCAGCCTGTAGGCTATCCTCCAGAGATTTGAACTGGATTCCTCTGCCTTTCCTTCCTTGCAGAAGTGACCAGACTTAAAGCAGGCCTTTTAACATGTAAGAGTCCCATTAGGTAGACTTTTAACTTAGGCCATCTGGACCAGGTTTCTGGATAACCCCTCAACATCATATCACACTCCTCTTACTCTTTTCTTCAATTCTGAAGATTCACCACTTGTTGTTCACCTCCTTTGTGCTGCACAACAAACTTCGGAGGCGCAAGGTCCCAATGGTCGTCCTCCCACTCCGGTCGCAGTTCCTCTTTGGCTTCCCACCGCTCGGCGTGCGGGTGGTGTATTTTTAATGTTAACTATGATTCAGTTCAAATATGCCACTGAAGCACTTTTATAATATATGAAATTGGTATAAGTATTTTTTCTTAATAATTCAGGAATTACTCTTGTATCAGTTAGGATTATACTCTACTGTATTTAATAGAAAATGACAGAATCTTAAACAGGTAAAGATGATTCTCTCACATGAAGAATTTATGTAGATACTCCAGGACTGGTAAGCAATTCCTCTGTCAGCAGGGGCCTAGACTCCTTTTAATTTGTCTGCTTTTCCATCTGTAAAGATTCATGGTCATAGGATGGCTGCTGGAGTACAAGCCATCACATCCCAGCCTCAAGCACAAAGCCCTTAAGTACAGGAAAAGGAAAAAGGGATAGGCTTCTCCTATCTGAAGAAAGCAAGAAAAATAATTTTTTAACTGGTTACACTGCTGCATAATTGTGAAGATGGAAAGAAATAACATCTTTAATAGATTGAATAAGTGTATTCTTTATTACTGTGTTCATATCGTTAGATTCTGAAAAGAAATCGAATCTCCTGTCAGAGGAACAACAAGCAACAAGCACTTTAGTAGAAACCATCAGGCAGAGTATTCAACATAATGATGTTCTTAAACCCATCAACCTACTTTCACAGCAAATAAAGGGAGATGTGAAAAGACAAAGGTAATAATTCAGTATTTTTTACTTGATGTCACTGGAAATAATTTCATGATTTTTAAAAAATTACTTTCAAAACTATCTCCAGTTGTAAAGAAACATACTCATTGTGGAACATCTGATTCTTTTTTAAAGTGCTACCCAAATGTATACAGTCATACTTCAGCACAAACATAATAAAAATGTCTGATGAATAAATTTTAGTAGGTGATGCATTCATGTCTAAAATACACTCAGTCTTTGGGAAACACTACTTCTATTCACTGGAAACCTATAAATATGTTTAACATCAATGTTAAACATACCTACTGCTTGTTCAGGCCATGTCACAGTTTATTTTGTGGGATGTAAAAAAATATATATGGGTTTAGGAGTAGAAACAACTTAAGAAAATGATGGAAGCAATGAATCACAAAGGATATGGAGCTATCCTGATCCTCTTACTATTTATTATCTGCTAACACATTTGGATCAGTACTCACCCAGGTCTCAGCCTAAGTGAATTTTGTGATATAAGCTTCAGAAAAAGGGACATAGTATCTTCTATCAAACATAAACAATGTTTCCAGGTGCTCTTCAAGTTTGTAGTCATGGCATCTTTGAAGACAGTCTCAGAAGTAATAGGACAAGAATTGATGATGGAAATCGATAGATCCTTTTATAATTTTAGCAATTGATATGGAGATTATCTCCTTTACAGGCTAAAGAGTAGCCTGTTACAAGCATCTGATTTAAGGGCAGGGAAGGAATATGAGAAATGATACAGCTTCTGAAGCTTTTAAAGAAAGCTGCAAGGAGCATCATCAGAATCAGCATTACAAATTTTTTTTTTCTGTGTAAATAAATACTCAGAAGTCAGTTCCTAAATTCCCCCCTCTTTTTCAACAACTGAAGCATGAATTTGATTTTTAAGATTTGTCTCGCTTTTATGTTCACAAATCAGATAAAAGGTGATTTTACCTTTACTGTTGGGTTAAATTACGAGTAAGAGACCATAGAACCTGTTTGTGTCTAAGGGTTTAGACCCCTAACTTACTTAGAAACTAATTTCTTTGTCATGTAGCAAAAATTTGCTTTTGTAAGTATGAATTGCATTATTAAATATCAGTAATTTTAATAGCTAAAATAAGCCATTTTTGTTTTGAACATGAAGCTTTATGCCCATTAACTTTAAACTTTTTAATTTGAAATAGAAGTTTGCAGGAAATTGCAAAGAAAATCTGTGGACCCTCTACCCAGCTTCTCCCAAAGGTGACACCTTACAACTGTAGTGTAGTCAAAACTGTGACACTGACATAAATGAATACACAGAACCTAATCTTTTTTTAAAGTATAGTTGACTTACAGTGCTGTTAGTTTCAGGTGTTTTTTTCACTATTTAAAAAAATCTTAGCATATTTTTATGCTCTTCGCCCATTAACTTTAAAATATTTGTTTTATAGGAGTTTATACAGAGAAATCCTCTTCTTATCATTAGTATCTCTTGGAAGAGAGAATATTGATATTGGTAAGTTGGTCAAATGGGGATTACTAAAGGTGGTTTAGTCTTATTCTCATAAGTAATTTAAAAAATTCTAACTGGTATGGGTAAATACTCCATTTGCCTTTTGAAAGATTTCTATCTTTAAATGTGCAGTTTATACATACAAAATGATTTGACTACCATTTTTTAATGCATAGCTTTTGTCTTATTAAATTCCAACTATATTTTTGAAAATATCTTTCAGAGGCTTTTGACAATGAGTATGGACTTGCATACAACAATCTGTCTCCAGAGATTCTTGAAAAGTTGCAGAAAATTGATGCTCCACCAAGTATCAGTGTGGAATGGTGCAGGAAGTGTTTTGGAGCACCTCTCATTTAAATAACAGATTCACTAGATTCTTGACACAGTGCTGGGGGAATAGATTCAATCTGGAGACATTTAAGGTTTGTTTCACATTACAAATTGGCGAAAACTGAAATGAAGTTCCTCTTGGGACAGTATTTATGATGAAATCGTACTGAATCATCTCGGTGTAAAAATGCCATTAAAATGCCCCAAGGTTTACTGAAGATTTACAATTTCTGAGCTGTTTATATCTGCTGAAAATTGGTGTTGCATTTCTCAGTATTTCTAGTAGTTTGATAATGGAAAACCATATTCGTTCTTGGCATTTTGTTTGTTTGAAGCTATTGAGTTTGGGGAACGGCAAATTAACGTAAACTTGCCTAACCCCCAAGCAAATGAAATCTCAATTTTAAGAGCAACTATTTGTGTATTGTGTATATATGTGTGGCTGTGTAGGTGTCTATTCAGCCATATAATATTTATTAAAATTCTTAAATTGCATGTTGCAATAGTTTTTTGAAAGGGGTTTCCAACTATTAAAATGACTACTACTAAACTCAGATGTAGTCATTTTAAGTTCAAAATTACCTGAAAATCTGATGAAAACTGCCATGCCTTTGACTTCAAAATTAATATATTATTTTTACCCTTCATGCTATATATATTAGCTCCCTTAACAGGTTATATTTCGAATATCCAGTTCCTTCATCCTCTTCCCAGTACCATGTTAATTTGCAACAGCTTTAAAATGGAATAAATGAGCCAAATAGTTGAAATGAAATTAGATCAGCTTCATAATTTACAAAATTAAAATTCTTGTGTATGTCTTTGGGTCTGAAATTGTTCAGGCACATAAATTGTTGCTGTTGTTCACTTTTAAAAACCTGTGGAATAACTTGCACTGCACAGAATTCTATTCTTGTATAATATTTAGATTTGTATGCTTATTTGTGCATTTGTAAATATGGTTTTTTAGGATGAATCAAGTCTTTCTTAAAACATTAAAGCTTGTTAAGCTTGTTGCTGGTAGGTTTAAGAAAATCATGACCTCACATGCCTCACTGACATTCATGCCTTTCATTAAACCATCCCTTTAGGATAGTAAACTTGTCTTCCTTACCTGTGTATGCATGGTTTGAAAAACCAATGATTATGTGTGCTTCCTTTTACAGAATAATTATGCAGATGACTAAATCACAGTTGGTAACTATTTCCAGATGGTACAGTTAACAGCACACACTGTTACTATACCAATCTTCCAAGATTTCAGGGTTATTAAGACCTATGCAGAATCCTTGTTTCAATTTATGGTTAAAGTGCTGAGTGAAAGAACTTTAGAATTCTCATTGCCTTAAAAATGAATTGCACTGTCTCAGAGTGTATATATTTGCAACTTAAGACTTGGTACTAGTTTTAATACTTTTAACACTTACTGCCCCAACAGAAAGTTTGGAATTACCTTGCATATAAAAAAAATTGAGGTTGAATAAAATGAAAACTTCATGAGTTTGCTGTTCTCGTCTCTTACATTTTTAAGGCTCCTGAAATGTGCACAGTAGTTCAAGCTCTTGTGGTCTTCAGAATTCCAGTACTGTCTGTGTTACCACTTTTCTGTGGTTTTCAATAATTTGAACTAATTAACAAAGCACTTCCCACTAAAAAAATACTCATGTATTCCTAAATCTGACACATTTAGGAATATGTGAATTTTACAGTAACTTTTACTATTAATCTAAAAAACAGCCAATATAAAGCTTAGCCTATTTAGAAATAAGTCTGATTTGTATTAAAGTTGCTTAAAGGCCTTTTCTGGCACCTACCACTGGACAGTAGAAATTTACAGCAAAAACAAAGACAAAACATCGAATCATTGAGATTTCAATCTCCTTTTTAAAAAATGCTCCAAGTTAACTTCTCTGTCAATTGCCAATTGAGGTTTTCTAACTCTTAGCAGCTATTGGTCCTATCCAGCAGAAAGTAACAACACTGTAAATCACCTGCATCCCAATTTTAAAAAGACCTGTGGGCATCCCCTCTACGAATCTTGCTTCTCATAGTGCAAAGTGCCCCAAACTATCCAATCATCATCCACTTTTTAGCCAGATCCTTGGGTGATTCTTCTGCAGTCTTAACTGAAACAGTTCTTCAGTCTCTACATGCCAAAGCCACTTGAAAATTTTACTCACCTGTGTTAATACATACTCCAGAAAAGGAGCACCTTTTAAAGCCTAATGTACCTTCTCTCAAGACCCTCTCATCTGTTAATGGTTTGAATAAAGGTTCTAACTGCAGTTACTATAGAAAGCAGACATGGTACCTATAGAGAGAAAAAAAAAAATACACTTTGGGAATTCCCTGGTGGTCCAATGGTTAGGAGTATGCTCTGACTGCCACGGGTCTGGGTTTAATCCCTAATCGGGGAGCTAAGAGCCTACATCCCATATATCAAACAGCACAAGGTATACTTTCTGTACACATCCTTCATAGATGCAAGAGTGTCTAAAAACAGGTACAGTCAAGTCCCTTGCAGAGTGTGAAATATAAAAATGTAAATCCACTTGAGTTGAAAAGGTTTCTGTTAATGTATTAAATCTGCACTGTTTTTAAAAGCTTTGTAAAACTATTCTAAAATGGTATCCATTAACTGTGTTTTTCACAAGTTATTCTTTTTACGTATGACAATGTCCATCTTCACAAGGGCACTTTTCATATATTGTGTAGAAACTATATTCCTTAAAATAAAGTCTATCAAAGATTAATAGTCATAAGTCATTTATTTCCCCCATCTTGTCCCATGCCTTGCTGAAAAGTCAATCAATCAATGTAAGAATTCTGAGACACCCACTAAAAGAAACTCTGTTCTGGCCATTTCTTCCACTATCATATATAGACTGTTTCTGAATTTGAAGGACTATCACTCTCAAGTATCTCTTGTAGACCTAATCCACTGCTAGATTATACAGTACCTGCTTTTCCATGATAAGAGTTTGTGGACCTTCATTTATCTATTTGATCATCAATTAAAAGTCAAGAAGGGAGATTTGATGTCTGATCTTATTTATTTGTTACTCTTGGAACATCTCATTTTTGACTGGACTCAGACTTAGAAGTAGAAGCTCTCAGAGAGGACAGCCTCCGTCTCTTGGCAATCTGTTCCTGCCGTTTTTCTTTGGCCTCCTAAACAGAAAACAAAGTGCAGTTAAAGCTTATCTGGATTAAAAACTGCAAATCCCATAATTCCTATTCCCCCCTGAGATTTACCTTCATTCTCTTGGCCAAAAGTTTAGCATATTCTGCAGCCTCTTCTTTGTTTTTCTTAGTACGCTGTTTCTTCAGAGCAATACGCCGGCGTTTGTGTTGCAGAACTCGTGGAGTCACGAGACGCTGAATCTTGGGTGCTTTAGTCCTAGGTTTCTTACCTGAAAATTTAGATGATGACTCAATCACTTCAATACCCTTGCTCAACAGGACCCACATTTACATTTTTAAAACGTCAGAGATTCAAATTTAGTAGCACATTTAATCCTCTAACAGCTCACTAAACCATACCAATAGTTTAGATATCAAGTTCAAGGTCATACATAAATTTATATTATTTAGTTGAACAGATGGAAGTCCTATCTTAATTTTTACCACTCATTTTGATATCCCTTCCATAATTACATTGTCTTGGTAGGGTATTATCATAAGACATGTGAGCATCATTTTAAAACAGTATTTAATTTGTCATGAAAACTTAAGTAAAGCATTAACTGCATCACTATCCCACCCACCATGCTTTGAAGTCCCAATTGGTTCTCAAATTTCTATTTTCCAAGACAGGACCTGCTTATCTGCTTCTGAGGAGTAAAACCATCAACATTCATTTCTTTCGCAATGCTGTGCTGCTTGTAGGAACTTAGTTCCCCAACCAGGATTTGAATCTAGGCCACCACAGTAAAAGCAGAGTCCTAACCACTGGACCACCAGCAAATTCCTAAGGTATCTTCATTGAGCCTGTCTGGATTATAAATCTGCTTCAGAGCAGGAGTCTTTTCAGATGTAACGGTTTTAGTTTGTGGACCCCTGTGAGAGCAATAAACACTCCATATAATACAGTCTAAGACTAAATGCTCAATTTTCCAGGTTCTGCTAAACGATAAAGGAGTTATAAAGAAACAAGAACCATCTTATAAATACTATGAACTAGCACTTACTAATGTTATTTCCAGGAGTGCGACTACAATTACTTTTTAAAGTGTATGATCTTCATGAGGATAACTGTGTATTTATACCATATCTTCAGTATTCAACAGAACCTGGGACAGAGGAGCTTTCCAAATAATTTGGAATGAGTGACCAATAAGCACTTAATACATGCCAGGTATTAATTAGCTTATTTAAGCCCACAGTCCTGGACACCAATACCCTAATTTTTTCTGATTTGTCAGGAAAACTCAATCTGAAACTAACATGTTATTTATGATGATGTGTTATGTTGACTAATGAATATACCTGCTTAAAATATAAAACACCAAGTTTTCTTAAAAAAACTAAAAATTGAGTTTCCATATGACCCAACAATCTCACTCCAAGACATATATCCAGACACGACTGTAATTCAGAAAGATACATGCACCCCTAAGTTCACAGCAGCACTATTCCCAATGGCCAAGACAGGAGAACAACGTCCGTGTCCACCAACAGATGAATGGACGTCATACATACATACAGTGAAACAGGAAGCTACAAAAAATGAGTGTCATCTGCAGCAACATGGATGAACCTAGATGACCACACCGCGTGAAGCCACAGTTAAGACAAATACCATATCACTTATATGTGGATTCTAAAATACAACACAAACTCTACAAAACAGACTCACTGACACAGAGAACAGACTTGTGGTTGCCAAGAGAGGTTGGGTGTGGAGGGATGGATTTGGAGTTAGGGATTCTCAGATGCAAATTATTACACATGGAATAAAGTCCTACTCATATCATAGCACAGGGAACTATATTCAATAACCTGAGATAAATCATAACCGAGAAGATTTTACATGTAACTGAATCACTTTGCTGTACAACAAAATTAACAAAACATTTTTATAGTTAAGTCAACTATACTTCAACGTAATAGTTATATATATATAAAATGTTCCCTGGTATCTTGAATGGTTTTCTAATTTGCAAAGCTATCGCTATCCACATTCAGAAGTTAAAGCAACTTACGTTAACTTTATCAACTTCAGCAAACAAAAAATTAGAACCACTGATATGTTAAGAAAGCAAGTGTGTGACCGTGAGAGCATATTCAATCACAATCCCAGACTTTTCTCCTGACCCCAAAGTAATGAACTTAAAACATCTGAGAAGTTATCTTTCAATGAACTCATACAATGACTCAAAAGCAAATTTCCAAGAAAAATTCTAACACTATAGGGCGCTGGTTATAATGAGGATTAATTCCAATTGCATATCTTGACCCTTTCCCACACTAATTTCCTAAAAACGCATATTCTAGGTAAATAGTAGGCAGAGATTGGCTTCCAACATGCATACAGAGTGGTACAACTAATGACATTAAGAACGCCTTATATTGCATAATCTTTCATACCTTCTTTGTTTAGGGGCTTTCGCACAACATACTGGCGGACATCATCTTCTTTAGAAAGATTGAAAAGTTTGCGAATTCTGCTAGCTCTTTTGGGACCCAGGCGACGAGGCACTGTAGTATCAGTGAGTCCAGGAATATCCTTCTCCCCTAAAAGAAAAAAGTGAACAGACATTTTTAATTCAACAACTTCCTTAAAAACAAGAACCGTAATCTGGTTCAAGCATTGCCAAAGCCAAGTCCACTTCCAAAGACAATCAGATTTAAGTCAGTGTTAACAAAAATAAACTCCAGAATAAAAGGCTCACCTTTTTTCACGATGACCAAGTTGAGAACACTCAGATTGGCATCCACAATGCAACCCCGTACAGATTTGCGCTTTCTCTCTCCAGTCCTCCTTGGTCTGTAACAGGAATGCCCCTTACTCAGTAGCAGGCGAACTCGGCCATGGGTCAAGACACCCTGCTTCATGGGGAAACCTTGCTTATCGTTCCCGCCACTGATTCGGACCACATAACCCTGCAAGAGAACACGATGACACATTTAAAACAAAGGATTGTGGCCTCTAAGAAGTACACCCTTAATTCTACTTAGTACCATTCATTAAGACCAATATGACACTTTAAATAGTTTCCTCCAGTCACTAAATTTTGTCTGTACTTCCAGTTTCCCAAGTTAGATTAGCAAAATCTTTTCAATCAAGTCATATTTCTAGCCTATACTTTACCAGAGTTAACAACTCTTAGGGCAGAAAGAGTATGTTATGAAACCGAAGTATCAAGGAACCACAAATCAGAAACAACCCTTCTTGGCACTTTTGAAGATCCCTTTGGAGACCTTTAGCTTGCAGGTGAAGAACGATATATTTTCATTTGATCTACATAAACACAACCCTGCCGGGTGATAGCGCCACCTTATAAAGTGACATTTGGAACTAAAGTTGGGAAACAGAACCCGAGTGTGAACCCCATTACATTTATCAATTACCAATAGCGTTTACCACCTCTCTTAAATAGAGCTAACAATTCAACTCGACAGTCAACTTTTACCTTCCATTCTTCACCCAGAGCGTCAGCAGCAACTTCTGTGGCCATACGCTTCTCGTAGAAGGTACGAAGTTTTCGTTCATCGTCCACTTCAATGAGCTTCTGGCAGCCAGTGGCCGGGAAAGAGATGTTCAGCTAAAAATAGTAAACGAGGGGGTAAAAAAATTTATGAAAATCGCAGAACCACTAGAAAGGTTATTCCATAGCAAAAAGCCTTTCCTGTCACCCCCACCCAACAGAAAATTTGATTATATTTACTAAAGGACACGTGCAAGGAGCCACAAACACGGCACTAAAAATAGGACCCATCTTGCAAGGCTTGCGGAATGCCGCCACGGACAATTACGGCCCACAGTCGTTCACTCTCAGATCAAGGAGCCTGACCTACTTGCCGTCAGCCCGGCCGCCTCTGTCCTGCCTGGGAGTCAAGACGCCACCATGGCGCTCCCCGACCGGCGTAGCTCCAGCTGCAATCGCTCGCCATCCGCTCTCCCATGGAGATCCGGCCCCAGAAGAGCGACCCTTCTCCTGCCTCAGACCCTTCTCCATCCAGGGCCAGGATTTTGGAGCGCAACGACACATCGTGGGGCTTGATCCACGTTCCACAAGCCTACCCGAACACCCGCCACTAGTTCCTACCTTCATTCTGAAGTGGCCGACAGCCTCCGAGGCGCCACGAAAAAGAGACCCAACTTCCGCTTAGCCCAGGTCACATAGGCTCTTCCAGTTCTCGCGAGATGTGCAGACGCCTGGGATAGTAGACGTAAGTATTGGTAGGCAGTACTTCCGGGGTGGGGCTAATCAGCGGTTGGGAGATAAGAGTCGGTGGGCGGTGCATGCGAAGCGGCACAGGTTTAGTACGGGAGATTAGTCTTTCTACTTCTTGTTCCTTCCCGTACGTTCTGGGTTAGGGAGCATGTCTGCTCGGTCCCGGACACTGCTTCTGATGATACCAAGGAAGGAGGCGGGATCGGAGTTCGACTGTCCTGCGCTCTTCTGTACCTCAGGCTCTATCCGAAGATTTCGAGTTTAAGAGCGTGCCCTGCCCTGGTTCCGGTCTTGAAAAATTGTGCTTTGTTTTTTCTTAAATACTTGATCATCCACTTGTCCTTTAACCGCTTTGCAGTCATCGTTCTGTCACGTGCGTGCGTGCTAAGTCCCTTGGGTCGTGTCCGACTCTTGCGACCCCATGGAATGAAGCCCTCCAGCCTCCTCTGTCCATGTGATTCTCTAGGAATACTGGAGTGGGTTGCCATGCCCTCCTCCAGGTGACCTCCCCGACCCAGGGATGGAACCCGCATTCCTTCTGTCTCCTGAATTGGCAGTCGGGTTCTTTACTACACTAGCGCCACCTGCAGTTATACCACAGAATGATGCATTCAGCCAGCCTGTCTTGCAAGCCGTTTAACGTAACCATAGTTACTCCGAGTCCTGGTGCCTGTTAAAGAGCCTCTCTGCTTTCTGCCTTTTCCCTGCGATCTTTTTAAAACGCGAAGTTCTGTCACTCCATTGTTGGAGAAGGACAATTTATTTCCCACTGCAATTAAATACTTTCCAAACTTCTTAACCTACTTTCATATATTTTCCACAGTCCAAAGTTCAGCTGTTGCCATTTGTTAACGCCATGCAAGGCGGAGAAGGAAATGGCAACCCACTCCAGTATTCTTGCCTGGAGAATCCCAGGGACGGAAGCCTGGTGGGCTGCCGTTTATGGGGTCAAACCGAGTCGGACACGACTGACGTGACTTAGCAGCAGCAGCAGTCCTTGCTAAGAGAAGCCTTTGCTGACCACACAACCAGAAATTGTATTCCTCTCCTGTAGTGTAGCATTATTTTCCTCTATTTAATCATGATACATAAATGGTTTGCTTATGGTCTATCTGCATACTAGATGGTAAATCAGGCTAGGTCTCATAACTTCACTATGGTATACTCAGGAAGCAGTAAAATGCATGGCACTTAATAAGTAAGGCTCAATAATATGTGATCATAACCCTAGTTTTGATATGTATTAGTCTTTCAGAGTGTAGTAGTATGGAGCCAGCCAGCAGAGGAAGAATGAGTTGAGTGTATTACAGTAAATTTTGAATCAGCAATAATTCAGCTCTTAATGGAACAGAAAGATGTGGAGAAAACACGGTGCATTTGATAGTCCTCCAGAACATTGTTGGGAGAATGAGAATCCGATGATCTAACTTTGAAACCCACAGTACCCTGAAGAATGGAACACTTACTATCTATTACATATTTACTCCATATTTTTTCCTCAAGAAAAAAAACCCTGCGTTTAAAATAAATGTTTACTTTCCAAGATTATCACATCCATCTTCTGCTTCAGTATCACAAAGTTTTGAGTTTAGGTCCACTTCACATTCAAAGCTGAAAGATTCTACTAAACCCTATTTGTGTGGTAAGTCACTTCAATTGTGTCCAACTCTTTGCAACCTTGTGGACTGTAGCCCATCAGGCTCCTCTGTCCATGGGATTCTCCAGGCAAAAATACTGGAGTGGACTGTCATGCCCAACTCCAGGAGATCTTCTTGACCCAGGGATTGAACCCGCCACTCATATCTCCTGCATTGGCAGTTAGGTTCTTTACCACTAGCGCCACCTGGGAGGCCCAAATCCTGTTTGATCATCTGATATTAATGTGAAAAATGTGCCCAAATGATGCATTTCAATTCAGTATATGTAGTTTTTGTTGTTAAGGTGAAATTGACATAGCATAAAACCATTCATTTTTATGTGAACAGTTCAGTGGCGTTTAGCTCTCACAGTGTTGTACAGTCAGCACCTCTATCTGGTGCCAAGACAGTTTCATCTCCCCAAAAGGAAACCTTGTGTCCATTAAGCAATTGCTCCCCATTCCCCTCTTCCACCAGCCCCTGGTAGCCACAATCTGTGCGCTGTCTATATGGATTTACTTAAACTATATATTTCATATAAATGAACTTATATAGTATGTGATCTCTGTGTCTGCCTTCTAATTTTTTTTTACAGTCATCCACATTGTAGTGTGTATCTGTTTTTTAATTCCTTTTAATGATTGAATTCTAATATCACTTTGTACATGTAGGTCACAATTTATTTATCCATTCATCCACCGATAGACATTTGGGCTGTTGCCAGCTTTTTTTTTTAAGTTTATTTTTGGCTGCATTGGGTCTTCATTGCTGTGCTTTCTCCAGTTGTGGCAAATGAGGGCCACTCTCTAGTTGCAGCTTCTCAGCGTGGTGGCTTCTCCTGTTGTGGAGCATGAGCTCCAGGGTAGGTGGGCTTCAGTAGTTGTGATGCAGGGGCTTAGTTTCCCCACAGCATATGAAGTCTTCCTGGACCAGGGATCAAACCCGTGTCCCCTGTGTTGGCAGGCAGATTCTTAACCACTGGACCACCAGGAAAGAGGTGGTGATTGCACAACACTGTGAGAGCTAAATGCCACTGAACTATTCACATAAAAATGAATGGTTTTATGCTATGTCAATTTCACCTTAACAACAAAAATCACATACACTGAATTTAATTCAAATGCATCATTTGGGCAAACTTTTTACATTAATATCAGATGATCAAACAGGATTTTGGCCTCCCAGGTGGCGCTAGAAGTCCTGTTTCCAACTTGTGACTGTTGTAAATAGTGCTGGTATGTTGAGTACCTATTTTTAGTCCTTTGGGGTATATAGGAGGAATTGCTGGGTCATGTGGTAAATCTGTGCCTCCTAGGAGAACTGCTAAACTGTTCAGTTTCATTTTCATTCTCCTCAGAAATGTATGCATTTGTTATTTTGTTACTTCTATCTCTCCTTTTAAATTATAGTCATAGGTGTGAAGTTATAGGTATGAAGTGGCACCTCAATGTGGTCTTGATTTTCATTTCCCTAATGACTAATGAGCATCTTGGCCATTTGTATATTTTCTGTAGAGAAATGTTTATTCAAGCCGTTTGCCCTTTTTTTTAAGCTCTATTTTTATTGAAGTAGTAGTAGTGAGTTAATAAAAGGCAAACAGTAAAATCCAGGACTATTCCTCAGGTTTTTTTCTTTTCTTTTTTTTTTTTGGTTTTTTTCTTTTCTAATGCATTTTTTATTGTGGTAAAAGACATGAAATTTACTGTCTTAACAATTTTTAAGTATGCAGTTCAGTAGGGTTAAATATATTCATGTTGTAAAACTATCTCCAGAACTATTTCTTCTTGCAAAACTAGAACTCTGGACTCATAAAACAGCCCCCTTTTCCCCCTCTCCTCATCCCTGGTAACCACCAGTCTTAGCTATCTATGAATTTGACTACTTTAGGTAATTGATACAATTGGAATCATACAGTACATGTCTTCTTGTGGCTGGTTTATTTGACTAAACACAATGTCCTCAAGGTTCATCCATATTGTAGTGTGTGATAAGATTTCCTTCCTTTTTAAGACTGAAAAATATTTCATTATATTTATATACCACATTTTATTTATCCATTTGTCTGTTGGTGAACATTTGGATTGTTTCCACTTCTTAGCTGTTGTGAATTCTGGCATTAACATAGACATGCATATGTCTCTTGGAGACCCTGTTTTCAATTTCTTTGGATATATATCTAGAAGTGAGATTGCTGGATTATATGGTAATTCAATTTTTAATTTTTTTACTTTCTACTAATTCCCATAGAAGTTGCACCAGTTCATAATCCCACAAGGGCTTCTTTTTGTATATTTGAATTGGCTTGTTTTCTTATTGAATTGTAAAATTTCTTTATATATTCTGAATGCTATACCCTTATAGATATATAATATGCAAATATTTTTTCCCATTTTATAGGTATATTTCCACTTTCTTAATAAAGTCCATTGATGTACAATGGTTTTAAATTTTGATATAGTCCAGTTATTTAATTTGTCTGTTGTTGATTGTGCTTACATTCTCATATCTGAGACAAATCCACTGCCAAATCCAAAATCCCTATATTCTTCTCCAATAATTTTATGGTTTGAGTTCTTATATTTAGGTTGTTGATCCATTTTGAGTTATTTTGTTGATATGGTTTGCAGTTGGGAACACAACTCCATTCTTTGCACATAAACATCCAGTTGTCCTACCACCATTTGCTGAAGAGGATATCCTTTCCCTCCTTGGCACTTCTGTTGAAAATCA